TTGAGAGAACACATAGTCAGATGAAGAGAGATTACCTGGATTAGCAGTGTTCTCTTGGGTAATCCATGTCTCTGTCAGGGCCAAAAAGTATAGGGACTGAAGGCCAGCATAGGCTGAAATTAACTCTGCGTTCTTGACCTCTTATACAATAAATTCATTTGACTTGGCGAAAATCCGTATTTTGGGCCTAACTTGCTTACCACTTTTTCCATGTGGTTTCTTCCTTCACAGACTCCATGAAATGATCACCTCTTCCTAAATATTTATATCCTAGAAACAAGGGTGGCTAAACTTACCCCTTTGACTCAACTTCAAAATAAAGTCGCATTATTTTGAGAATAAAATTAAACTTTGAGAATAAACTTGAAATTTTATTTCTAGAATAAAGTCTAAATTGTGAGAATAAAGTCGCAGTTATATTTCATGATTAATTGCCTGACTTCCTGTTGCTGTACGCCACCATTGAAATGCCTGAGCTAGATGACCTGGTGGAACTATACATTAGAAATGGCTTTAGTAACAAGGAAATCCTTTTATCGTTTAACAAAAAATAACCATATTATTATAGGTATTAGGACCTCGAAGAGATTATGCCACAGATTGGGTCTTTTTAGGAGAACCACATGGACTTGTATGAGGTATTGGCCTTCGTGAAATCAACAGTGTACGGAATACATATTAGGAACTTAATCACTCATCATCAGACCTCACCCAGCCTAGTTTTAACCCTGTAATAGCCAAGTGTCACCCGCAAAACACCAGTCTCAGCGTCAACAGTGAAGAGGCGACTACGGGATGCTGACCTTCTAGGCAGAGATGCAAAGACAAAGTCCAGTGTCTGTGTTCTTTTGCCCATCTTAATATTAATTTTTATTGGCCAGTCTGAGATATGACTTTTTCTTTGCAACTCTGCCTAGAAGGTCAGCATCCCGGAGTCGCCTCTTCACTGTTGACGTTGAGACTGGTGTTTTGCGGGTACTATTTAATGAAGCTGCCAGTTGAGGACCTGTGAGGCATCTGTTTCTCAAACTAGACACTAATGTATTTGTCCTCTTGCTCAGTTGTGCACCGGGGCCTCACACTCCTCTTTCTATTCTGGTTAGAGACAGTTTGCGCTGTTCTGTGTAGGGAGTAGTACACAGCGTTGTACGAGATCTTCAGTTTCTTCGCAATTTCTCGCATGGAATAGCCTTCATTTCTCAGAACAAGAATAGACTGACGAGTTTCAGAAGAAAGTTCTTTGTTTCTGGTCATTTTGAGCCTGTAATCAAACCCACAATTGCTGATACTTCAGATACTCAACTAGTCTCAAAAAGGTTTTATTGCTTCTTTAATCAGCACAACAGTTTTCAGCTGTGCTAACATAATTGCAAAAGGGTTTTCTAACAATAAATTAGCCTTTTAAAATGATAAACTTGGATTAGCAAACACAACGTGCCATTGGAACACAGGACTGATGGTTGCTGATAATGGGCCTCTGTACGCCTATGTAGATATTCCATAAAAAATCAGACGTTTCCAGCTACAATAGCCATTTACAACATTAACAATGTCTACACTGTATTTCTGATCAATTTGATGTTATTTTAATGGACAAAAAATGTGCTTTTCTTTCGAAAACAAGGACTACTAGGGATAAAACAAGGACATTTCTAAGTGACCCCAAACTTTTGAACAGTAGTGTATATTTTTTAAATAATATGATAGCTAAAAATCAAATAAAAGCTAGTCAGTCAGGGAGTATAGAAAATTACAAAAACCGGGCATTCAGGGCACATGCCCATTGATTTTGTTCTAATGTTTGAGCAGAGGAATTAGCCATGCATTAGCCATGGCAAAATGCATAGAATTTCAGGAAATTAGCTTTACAACAGCAACATTTTCTCTACGCTGCCAAGGTACCTTTCTAGCTAATACTATGTTAAGAGTTAACACTTCCTCTTCCAATGAACTGTGGGGAGGTCAAAATAATGAAACGGTCTACCAAATCTATTCATTTTAAAACATTGATTACTTCTACTTGCCATTATCACTCACCAGATGATAAGAAAAGACGTGATTATATATTTTTTGCTAACATATGACGGGGGTCCCTGGGTCGCTGGTTTACCTGGGCGGGGGTCCCTGGGCAAGGAAAGTTTGAAAACCCCTGCCCTATTCCTAAAAACCTTATCCCTGGTAGCCTTAGTTATCCCTAGTAGCCCTGTCTCTAGCACCGCTCTTCATCCTCCCCTCCCTTTCTCTCTGCCTGCCCGCATGACCCTAGTCTCACTCGCCAGACTCAGTGTGCATCAGAAGGAGACTAACAGGCCCGTGACCTGACACACACCCTGTTACGGTCCGGCTCTGTTGGTCCTGTTCCTGTTGGTGTTCCTTTCCCTTTTCTCCCCTGTGTGTGTTGTTTGTGTCTGTCTCCCCCTGCTGTGCAGTCAGAGGTTCTAGGTCAGCGGGCGTGGCCTTTCTATCATCAGACCAGTTGCATCAAGCTGCAGCTCATTGGCACCAATCAAGCAGCAGATATCTACCCGGGCTGGACACCTCTCCAGCGCCAGTTCGTTCCTACACTTCCAGTGGTAACTTGGCCCGTACAGCACTCTCAGTGTAGTTGTACTCTCTCAGTATTATTGTTGTTCCTGCCACGTTTTGTAACCTGTCTCTCCTTCGACCAGATCTCGTCTGTTCCTGCTGCCTGCTTGCCTGCCTGCCTGCCTGCCATTCCCACGCCGCTACCTGCTCCTCTGTTGCCTGATATCCTCGTTATCCAGCTCTCAGGACTACTGGCTCTCCACTCCACTCAGCTCCTACCCCAGCCTGAAGCTATTCCACCCTGACTACCTACCTCTGCCTATTCACGTTGAATAAACTACATCCTATTTTACTCTCTTTGTCCGTGTGTCCGTCTCTGCACCTGAGTCCACCACCCAACCTAACACACCCGGGGCGGGCAACGGATATGAGACACCTTATGTCAACAGTCAATAATAGACAAGTGAATCCAATCTCTCAAATGCATACCCATTCAGATAAAGAGAGAGAAAGGGATGGGGGAGGGGAGAGGGAAAGAGAGGGAGGGAAAACAAACAGAGAGAGAGAGAATGAAAGACACAGAGAAAGAGGTGAACACATACACACAAGCCAACTCCCCTCCTCCTATCTTCCTCTCTAGCTGGTTATCAGAGGTCTTGCTCAATATAATATATTTCCCTGGTTGCTAGGCAATCCCATAAAGCGCCAAAGCCAAAGAAGGAGTGAAGTGTTATAAATAATGTATTTGCATTATCAAATCAGCTGCCAGCCACCCCCATACAGAGAGAAGAGAGATAGAGAGGAAGAAAAAGAGTGGGGGGGAGAGGATAGAGAGAGAGGGCCATTTGATCACTGGAACACAGTCAATTCTATTAGATTAAGTCCTTGACTCTATGTTTGTACGCGAGTGTGTGTGTCTGCATCTGTCTGTGAATATGTGTGTGTGTGTGTGTGTGAGTAGAAGAATAGAGAAAGAGAGGGTGTGGGGAGGAAGAGAGCAGCTGGTTCAGTGAGAAGAGGCCTATGTGTAGCTAACTGACTCACAGCAAAACAGCAGGCAGAGCAGAGGAGAGAGGAGCAGAGGTGCTGGGATGTGGAGGATGTTGAGAGTGGTGGTGAGAATCATTTAACAGCAGAGTCAGGAAGAAGGCAGAGCAGGGAAAGCCACAGCTCAGCTCAGATCCACTGGCTTCCCAACCTAGCCATCACTACCCATCCGAAAATACACCCATCCAACTAGCCATGGGGATGAGTCACACTACACAGCCTTTCATAATGTATCACACACACACACACACACACTAAACACTTAACACACACACTGACACATATTTTACACGTCACATACATTACATACACACATCCTACACACATTTAGTCACACATCACACACACGTGTGTGTGTGTGTGATAACATGAGAAAGTGTGATCCACTCTCATAAGGCTATTGGGTTTCAAAATATCTGTTCCCTGACTCATACTTCCCCTTCTCATGTTCCTGTGGCTAGTTATGTGAGAACAGATATAGGACTAACAAACAATGTTATTCTCATCACTGTAAGGTTCTGTGCTGGTTATACATACTGTATAGACCTAGTGAATATAATAAAAGCATTGTCTGGTTAAGCCTCTTCCTTTGTGTGAGACTGTAACCTGCTGGTTATGTTAAACACAGATTACATAATCACTGTATAGCACTGTTTTATGGGGGAGTCGAGGGAGTATATTTTGGGGTACTAACACCCAGAAAGATGGAGGGAATGAGCTGTTGCTAGGCAGCGAGCGGAAGAGGAGAGAGTCTGGAGAATATCTGCTAACGGTGTTGAGATAGCTTCATTGCTAATTACCATAGCTCGTTAAACCAAGTTATTATTAACTTGCTTGTAAATGAAGCTCATAAACAAAGAACAGGACCATGTTAAAATGTCCTCCAGGGTTAAGGGATAGGAGGTTCGGATGAACACCAAAACCCTCATTACAGCAAATTGGTACAGGCAGAGAGAGGAGCAACTGCAGTATTGGTGCTGGATTGGTAATACTTGGATTGGAGCAAACAGGATTGGCCATCCTCCACATAACATGCTGTTTTGCTAACACACAAGCACAGACACACACATACAGACACACATACAGGCGCACACATGCACACACACAGTGACACTCAGTGACACGCACACACACCTGTCATAGGAGAGACCCAGAGTGGGCCAGCTGGCTGTGTTTCAGCTCCTCATCACCCCAGGGATTGGTACTCCCACTGGCCAAATATGGAAGAGAGAAGCACCCTCTCTTACCCCATGGGGACTGTGTACTCCAACACATACACACACACACACATGCACGCACACATGCACACACACACCAGAGCGAGAGAGAGACCTTATGTGCAGCCACTATTTAAGTCAGAGAAGCATTTACGGCATTACAACCAATGTATGGTCACTATGGAGACGGCACGTGGGGTAATGGGAGTGCTATGGCTCACAGGTAAGAGTTTTATGATGGTAATCTGCCATTACTGATGATAATAGGTCTGTTGATGTGCCCCAGGCCTTTGTGTATGTGACTCTCACCAGGACTGTGTGTGTGTGTGTGTCTCACCAAACCTGTGTGTGTATGTGTGTGTGCCCGTGTGTGTCTCTCTCGCTCTCTCTCACCAGGTGCAGCAGTATGCGGTGTCCGTTGGGGTGGATGGCCAGGGCTTCGTCATAGAAGCTCTTGGCCTCGTCCTGGTTCCCTTTGAGCTCGGCCAGCCGGCCCCTCAGCAGCAGCACAGAGTGGGAGTTGGGAAAGAGCACCGCTGCCTCCTGGACACAGAACTGGGCCTCCTTCAAACGTCCCTCTGCCATGAACAACTCTCCTACGGGAGAGAGATGAGGGGACGAGAGAGAGACAGATAGTGAGAGAGGGGTGGGGGGAGAGAGAGCATGAGCACCGGATGGGACAGTAGCAGTACAGTATGTGCAGGTAGAGTCAGGCTAACATGTCACATCACCAACTGCATGGCCACCGTTGTTCGACATTAATGATTCTTGTTTCATTTCTCTTTATTTTACCAGGTAAGTTGATTGAGAACTTATACTAATTTACAAGATTGACTTGGGGAATATTGCAGCAGAGGAAACAACACAGCGATTCCACGCCAGCGAGAGTGGAAAATACTTTGGGTATCTCAGATTGTTCTGGGAATTCTTCCATAGGAACATCATTGGGAGGAAAGATGTTTAACATTCTTTTTACATTTGTATCACAAACCATTTTAGAGAAAATCATGGTGAAATTGGCCATTTTAGGCCCTTTTTAGACCTATACATGTCTCCTGTAAGACCCTATGATCTGTGAACCGTACATGATACAGACAACATCTTGGTGTCATTATACTACTTAGTGTTCTCTAAAAAATGAAGTATGTCTAGATTCTGAAATATATATTTTCACATTAATTTATTCAATATAACAAGTATTAATATGTCAAAACTTTTTTACATGTTGTTTGTAACAATATACTTTTTAAACACATTACATTTTCTGGTACTGTTAATGATATAACCCATATTATACATAGAAATTGACATTATAGGTAATTAACCATTCACAGCCCTCCTTTAGGATTGCACATTCAGCAAATCACCAGCAGAGGGAGTTCCCGTTTGAATCCATTTTCCCATTCAGTGTGTTGGTGGTACTCATAAAATGTATCATACCTTCAGAATTAGTAGAGAGCCTACTATGGAAATGTGATGTGCTTGTACAGCTCCAAACAATATGTATTAAAATGAACAAAATCAAAAAGGGTCATTTTGGGATATTCATATTTTTTATGTTGAATAAATGAATGTGAAAAATTGTACAGTGCCTTTAGAAAGTATTCACACCACATTACTTTTTCCACATTTTGATATGTTACAAAGTGGCATTGAAATTGATTTAATTGTCATTTTTGGTCAACGATCAACACAAAATACTCTGTATTGTCAAAGTGGAAGAAAAATTCTAAAACATTGTTTAAATTAACTTGTTTACAAAAATAAAATTGTTTCTACAATGTTGAAAATCCAATAACAAGATGTGGAGACCAAAATATTTGTTCCAATTTCAACTTATTTTAGAAGAAATAGGGAATTATATACTGCGCCTTCAGAAAGTATTCATACCCCTTGACTTATTCCACATTTTGTTGTGTTACAGCCTGAAATCAAAATGGATAAAAACATATATTTTTTAAATACAATACACACCATAACATGTTATTAGAAATGTTAGCTAATTGAAAATGACATACAGAAATATCTCATTTACATAAGTATTCACACCCCTGAGTCAATACTTTGTAGAAGCGCCTTTGGCAGCGATTACAGTTTTGAGTTGTCTTGGGTATGTCTGTATCAGCTTTGCACATCTGGATTTGGGGATTTTCTCCCATTCTTCCGTGCAGATTTTCTCAAGCTCTGTTAAGTTAGAAAAATGGAGCGGCGGTGAACAGCAATCTTCCAAGTCTTTCCACAGATTTTCAATGGGATTCAAGTCTGGGGTTTGGCTCGGCCACTAAAGGACTTATTGTTCTGAAGCCATTCCAGCATTGCTTTGGCTGTATGCTTGGGGACATTGTCCTGTTGGAATGTAAATCTTCGCCCCCAGTCTAAGGTCGTTTGCACTCTGAAGCAGGTTCTCATCAAGGATTTGCCTGTATTTGGCTCCATTCATTGTTCCCCTTATCCTTACTAGTCTCCCAGTCCCTGCCGCTGAAAAGCATCCCCATAGCATGATGCTGCCACCACCATGCTTCACAGTAGGGATGGTGTTAGATGGGTGATGAGCTGTGCCTGGTTTTCTCCAGACATAGCGCTTTGCATTTAGGTCTAATAGTTCAATTTTTGTCTCATCAGACCACAGAATATTTTACCTTATGCTCTCAGAGTCTTTCATGTGCCTTTCTTTGCAAACTCCAGGCATGCTGTCATGTGCCTTTTTCTCAGGAGTGGCTTCCGTCTGCCCACTCTCCCATAATATTATATTATATATTATAATGCCCAGATTGTTGAAGTGCTGTAGAGACTGTTGTCCTTCTGGCAGGTTCGCCCATCTCAGCCAAGGAACTCTGTATTTCTGTCAGAGTGGTCATTGGGTTCTTGGTCACCTCCCTGACCAAGTTCCTTCTTGCCCAGTTTGGTCAGACGGCCAGCTCTAGGCAGTCTGGGTAGTTCCATATTTTTTCAATTTCTTGGAAACTTTCAACACTTTAGAAATGGTTTTATACCCTTCCTCAGATATATGCCTTATCACAATTCTAGCTCAGAGATCTATGGACCGTTCCTTGGACTTCATAGTATAGTTTCTGCTCTGACATGCACTGTCAACTGTGGGACCTTATATACACTGAGTGTACAAAACACATGCTCTTTCCATGACATAGACTGACCAGGTGAATCCAGGTGAAAGCTATGATCCCTTATTGATGTCACTTGCTAAATCCACTTCAATCAGTGTAGATGAAGGGGAGGAGACAGGTTAAAGAAGGATATTTAAGCCTTGAGACAATTGAGACATGGATTGTGAGTGTCAAGAACTGCAACGCTGCTGGGTTTTTTATGCTCAGCAGTTTCCTGTGTGTATCAAGAATGGTCCACCACCCAAAGGACATCCAGTGAACTTGACACAACTGTGGGAAGCACTGAAGTCAACATGTGCCAGCATCCGTGTGGAACGCTTTCGACACCTTGTAGAGTCCATGCCCCGACGAATTGAGGCTGTTCTGAGGGCAAAAGTGGGTGCAACTACATTTTAGGAAGGTGTTCCTAATGTTTTGTTCACTCAGTGTAGACAGGTCCAAACAATTGAATTGGTCACAGGTGGACTCCAATCAAGTTGTAGTGACATCTCAAGGATGATCAAAAGAAATTGGATGCACCTGAGCTCAATTTGGAGTGTTATAGCAAAGGCGTGTGAATACTTATGTAAATTAGATATGTCTGTATTTAATTTTCAATACATTTGCGAAGATCTCTAAAAACATGTTTTATGGAGTATTGTGTATACATGGGTGAGAAGAATACAGGTGTCCTTCCTAACTGTTGCCAGAGAGGAAGGAAACCGCTCAGGGATTGTACCATGAGGCCAATGGTGATTTAAAACAGTTACAGAGTTCAATGGCTGTGATAGGAGAAAACTGAGGATGGACAACAACATTGTAGTTACTCCACAATACTATCCTAATTGACACAGTGAAAAGAAGCCTGTACAGAATAAAAAATATTCCAAAACATGCATCCTGTCTGCAACAAGGCACTAAAGTAATACAGCAAAAAAATTGGCAAATCAATTACCTTTCTGCCCTGAATACAACATGTTATGTTTGGGGAAAATCTATTACAACACATTACTAAGTACCACTCTCCATATTTTCAAGTGGTGGTTGCATCATGTTATGGGTATGCTTGTAATCGTTAAGGACTGGAGAGTTTTTCAGGATACAAAAGCAACGGAATAGAGCTAAGCACAGGCAAAATTCTAGAGGAAAACCTGCTTCAGTCTGCTTTTGTCCTGACACTGGTAAATGAGTTCACCGTTCAGTAGGACAATAACACAAGGCCAAATCTACACTGGAGTTGCTTGCCAAGAACACGGTGACTGTTCCGGAGTGGACGAGTTACAGTTTTGACTTAAATCTACTTAAAAATATCTTGCAAGACCTGAAAATGGTTTTCTAGCAATGACCAACAACCAATTTGACAGAGCTTGAAGAATTTTGAAATGGGCAAATGTTGCACAATCCAGATGTGGAAAGCTCTTACAGACTTACCTAGAAAGACTCAAAGCTGTAATCGCTGCCATTCGCTAAAATTTCTAAAAACATGTTTTCATTTTGTCATTATGGGTTATTATGTGTAGATGGGTGACAAAAAAATCTGTTTAATCCATTTTGAATTCAGGCTGTAACACAACACCATGTGGAATAAGTCAAGGGGTATGAATAGTTTCTGAAGGCACTGTACGTGCGCTAGCCCAGTAAAGTGTGTGTATGTGTCTGTGTGTGTGAGAGACAGATTGTATAAATGTTTGTTTATCTGTTTTTCGAAGTGGGCACAGATGGGAGCTAGATGGGAGCTTTGTGTGCACGCTATTACACTCATATAACATTAGTCAGAAAGATAAAAAAGGCTATTTCGGATCCCTATTTTCATTTGGGGAAAGAATAGGTATTCGAAGCATGATCCCCTGTTATATAAACGATTTTTCATATTTCTCAACTGGACTCTCACCAAAATGAAGAACAGCAATAATATGAATAAACCATTCATAGTGGCTGTGTGTGTGCGCGCGCATACATGCGTGCCCGTTTGTGTGTGTGCCTGTGCGTGTGTGTGTGTGTATATGGAGCCAGGTCATGCTGATTGTTTCCTGTGTCCTGCCCTGAGGAGAGGCGCAGTGCTGTGTGTGTGTTTGTGCTGCCTGACTATTTGACCAATCAGGATGTGAGATTTTAGGCAGGAAGTTACAGTAAGTGGAGGCTCCTCATAGGAGGAAGGCAAGGACCCTTTTTAGATAAAACTATCCTAAATATAGTCACGTCACCAAATAACTGATTAAAACACTATTTTGCAATGATGGTCTACAGTAACCTCAACAGCACCCTCTAGGGTCGCACCATGGTTCTCACCCCCTTTCATTTACTTACACAGTTATCACGACTTCCGGAGGATGTCCTCCAACCTATCAGAGCTCTTGCAGTATGAACTAACATCTTGTCCAACAAATCAAATGATCAGATAATGAATCTAGTCCTGAAAGCAAAAGCTATGGCTAGCTAGCATTGCAGTGCATAAAGTGTGGTGAGTAGTTGACTCGGAGGAAGAAAGACAAATTAATTTCTTCAAAAATTAAGGAGAAGCAGCAGCAGCTATATTTGTTGTATTTTTTTCTTCTTCGTTTACCTTTCACTTACTTAGCTAATGCAGCTAATTTAGCCTACTCAACAACCTGACTCAAACATAGAGGAATGCTATTTATGTTAGCGAGCTGGCTAAGGCTATCCAACACTGCTACTCTTCCAAGTCAAGGTAAGCTTTCTGTTTTATTCGTTTATTGCTACCGGGGCCCGCCGGTGTAACTGCTAAACTGCTTGCTGTACACTGTCTGTACTGTGTGATTGTACACATGGATTGGATTTTGGGTTTACTAACGCGTTCGTTCTACGTAGTTTGTTGACTATAATGTTAATATGGTAACAACAATGTAGAGGTTAGCGGTTATGGTATGAAGGTTTGGCTTGGAGAGTTTGTTGCACCTGATTTTGTTGTGCACTGAAGTCCACAAGTGAAGGGAAAAGGTCAGAGGAGGAGAGTGCGTAGATGCAAGAAGGAATTATACAATGAGCAGTGATGATGCTGTATGTGGCTGCTATGACAGTGAACTGTGTGTGCGGGTGATCAGGGGTGTATTCATTCTGCTGATTCTGTTGCAAAACGTTTCTTAAACAGAAGCAAACGGAACACAACGGGGAGGAACCTACCTGAAATTGTCCAATAACTGTTTGGACTAATGATTACACACCGCAGATTACTCCAATTAGTCTCTCGACCTGTGCACCTACATTATAAACTTTAATTTGTAGGCTAAGTTGTAGCAACCTCATGATGGGTATAGGGCAAATTCAAGTACCATGTAGTATCCTAAACCTATCGATTTTACATTGCGCTGGGTGAATGGAATATGAATGACAGTCATCCAATATGCTGTAATAGAAATAAGGCCATGCTCATAAAAAATGTAATGTTCTCCCTAATCTTGAATGGCACCAACCACCACTGGATACAGTATAGGTGTACCTGATGTGAGTTCAGTGGGTTTTGCAGTGAATTTTTTTAAAGGTTCAGTCTCAAGGGTCAGATAGAAATGCCAGATGACGAAAGGCCAGCTGATGAAAATAACCTTTGCTTAAAATCCAACACAGTGGACTCAACCCTAACTCATCCATTGTTATAATGGTGGCCTTTCTCTCTGCTCAGTTCACAACTATAGGGTAGGATACACACCCCTGCCCTCTAGCTAACTCCAGTGGAGTGCACTCTCCCTCCCTCCTCTAGATACAACTCCAATGGAGTGTCCACTAGTACCTCCAGCACTAGAATGTACACTCCAGTGGTAGAGTCTACACTCCCACCTGTAGCTAATTTCAGTGGGTAAGAAGCACACACTTGTCCTAGCTGACTCCAGTGTACACTAGAGTGTAGTAGACTAGATAGTAGTGTAGTCTCCCTCCCTCCTGTACCTGCTTGCAGCCAGATGCGCTCCAGGGTGGTCCAGATGTAGGCGGGACCCTGTTTGTGGGCGGAGCTGATGGCTGACACCTCTGACATGGCCTGCTCCAGACGAGACGCAGCGAGGGACGGACCACTCTGAGAACCTGACCCAGCGAGAGTTGATAGTCAGCACACGTACAACATTATACACTACCAGACACAATAAACCTGATCCAGGAAGAATTTATACTCAGTCAGTACACATACACACAGAGCCTGATCCAGGAAAAGTGGAGACTCAGCACACATACAGAAAATATGAATGATGATATGATATGATATATAGTACCAGTCAAAAGTTGACACGCCTACTCATTCAAGGGTTTTTCTTTATTTTTTACTATCTTCTACATTGTAGAGCAGTGAAGACATCAAAACTATGAAATAACACATATGGAATCATGTAGTAATTTAAAAAAAAGTGTTAAAAAAATCAAAATATATTTTATATTTGAGCTTCTTCAAATAGCCAACCTTTATGACAGCTTTGCACACTCTTGGCATTCTCTCAACCAGCTTCACCTGGAATTATTTTCCAAAAGTCTTGAAGGAGTTCCCACATATGCTGAGCACTTGTTGGCTGCTTTTCCTTCACTCTGCCGTCCGACTCAACCCAAACCATCTCAATTGGGTTGAGGTCGGGGGATTGTGGAGGCCAGGTCATCTGATGCAGCACTCTCCTTCTTGGTAAAATAGCCCATACACAGCCTGGAGGTGTGTTGGGTCATTGTCCTGTTGAAAAACAAATAATAGTCCCACTAAGCCCAAACCAGATGGGATGGCGTATTGCTGCAGAATGCTGTGGTAGCCATGCTGGTTAAGTGTGCCATGAATTTTAAATAAATCACAGACAGTTTCACCAGCAAAGCACCCCCACACCATAACACCTCCTCCATGCTTTACGGTGGGAAATACACATGCGGAGATCATCCGTTCACCAACACCGCGTCTCACAAAGACACGGCGGTTGGAACCAAACATCTCCAATTTGGACTCCAGACCAAAGGACACATTTCCACCGGTCTAATGTCCATTGCTCGTGTTTCTTGGCCCAAGCAGGTCTCTTCTTATTATTGGTGTCCTTTAGTAGGGGTTTCTTTGCAGCAATTCGACCACGAAGGCCTGATTCACACAGTCCCCTCTGAACAGTTGATGATGAGATGTGTCTGTGACTTGAACTCTGTGAAGCATTTATTTGGGTTGCAATTTCTGAGGCTGGTAACTCTAATGAACATATCCTCTGCAGCAGAGGTAACTCTGGGTCTTCCATTCCTGTGGCGGTCCTTATGAGAGCCAGTTTCATCATAGCACTTGATGTTTTTTGCGACTGCACTTGAAGAAACTTCCAAAGTTCTTGAAATGTTCAGTGTTGCCTGACCTTCATGTCTTAAAGTAATGATGGACTGTCGTTTCTCTTTGCTTATTTGAGCTGTTCTTGCCATAATATGGACTTGGTCTTTTACGAAATAGGGCTATCTTCTCTATACCCCCCCTACCTTGTCACAACACAACTGATTGGCTCAAACGCATTAAGGAAAGAAATTCCACAAATTAACTTTTAAGAAGGCACACCTGTTAATTGAAATGCATTCTAGGTGACTACCTCATGAAGCTGGTTGAGAGAATGCCAAGAGTGTGCAAAGCTGTCATAAAGGCAAAGGGTGGCTATTCGAAGTATCTCAAATATAAAATATATTTTGATTTGTTTAACACTTATTTGGTTACTATATGATTCCATATGTGTTATTTCATAGTTTTGATGTCTTCACTATTATTCTACAATGTAGAAAATAGTAAAAAATAAAGAAAAACCCTTTAATGAGTAGGTGTGTCCAAACTTTTGACTAGTAGTGTATGTATCCTCATACACACTCAATCAGGTCCGGGAATAGTTCTCATTCTCAATCAGTACACATACACGAAAAACCCTAATTTATAAACAGCAGATCATATTTTGTAAAGATACAAATACTGGTCTCTCTTGCAAAATAGCTTTATTCTTATCTCAAAGAGACAACGTTAAATAAACATCAATACACTCCCAAGAGGCTGTGTCCAGTATACACACCAGTCTCAGTGTCCTGGAAGTCTGGCAGGTTGAGGTGGAGGCGGCTGGGTTTGCGGCTGAGTGGAAGTGGCTCTGGTGGGTGGATACTGCTGCTGTCATCCCCCTCACTGCAACACCACATGACAGCTAATCAATACACAGCATCTTATAAAGCTCCCACTGAACACACAGCAGCAGCCATTATACTGACATGCACCCATAGTGCAGTAGACACACACACTCACATGCACACACAGTCACTCATGCATGCATGTACAAACACACACCCACCCACACAATCACATTATACACTAGGGCTGGGACAATACCAGTATCACAATATTTTTTCCATGCCAAAAATTTAAAACACAAAGCACACCGAACTCTTTGGTCCTTTAAAAACCTGCTGTGTGTAAAATATTGTGTGCTGTAGCTTGGAAAATAAATAAATGTGACTCTGGATGACAACATAATGATGTTTGATTCCGACATTAGGGCTGTTTTCCTAATGAAGTTAAATCCGCTTCGGGTTTGTTTCCTTGCCACGATACTAACGAGCATTACGATACTGGTATCGTCCCTATTATACACACAAGACACAGACACCCACACACATGCCAGCATGGAATGGACGCACCCACATGTAACAAACACAATATCTACACAAATAGAGAGACAGACTGGCAGGCAGAATCATTCACATACCTGGTGCGTGTGAAGTCATAGCGCCTCTGCCATAGATGCAGCATGTCTTCGCAGGTCTGGAGTGCTACCCCCGGCCCATACAGAGCCTCCTCCAGCTTCACCTTAGTGAACAGCAGGCTGAGTGACAAGGAGCACATTAACAAATTAGCACTTAACACATTGATACACACATTCGTATGCTGTACCATACACTCAACCAGGGGTTGGAACCAACATTATTTTCCAATCGTTTTGTTCTGAACAGAACTATCATTTTTTTCGTTTCGTTCCACTGTTCCGACCAGCAAAATAAAGTTCTGAACCAAAAAAAACTACTGGTTTATATCGTTCCTTTCTGTTCCTTTTTAAACTTAAATACATAAATACATTTTTTACATTTAGCTCAACATTCAATTACTTCACCAATCAGTGCGGATAGAGCAGCTTGCTATGGAGCGAGCAAGCAATAGTTGTTTACATGCGCGATGGACAGACAAGGCTTGGCTTGAAACGCTGGGCATCTTGTTATGACATGCATTATCTGAATTAGGCCCACAGAATTATATCTACGGAGGACCGGCTTCTATGGAGGAACTTTGAATGTCTCTGAACTTCAGAGATTTGGCTTAACGTTGGACCAGAGCTAGCAAGCTAGCTAACAAGCTTGTGTGTGCAGAGCAGCACCAGAATAAAAAAATAGTCTTACCTTTTTGTAGTTAATAAATCCAATGTGAAACGTGATAACTATAGTATCTGTAACTAGCATTGAAAAAATGTATCCATGCATTCTTCTCTAATTAAAAATCTCTCCCTAATTTCTGAATCACGCTTGTAACGTCAGTAGGCTAGCCTAAGCTTTGGAAGGATGAGGGGCAGGTTGCCTACACACACACACACACTGGCAAAGATTTCCAGCTGGCAGTCAGACACTGGAATACGTTTCTGAGTGACAGAGTGAGGGCTTTGCATAAACGGCTTGTTGCGTTTTTTTGTGGGACTGAAAAAAAATGCCCCGAATGTAAAATAACGTCATTAACCGGTTCGCTTGCTTTTAAAATAACAGTTCTGTTCCGGAACAGTTATTTTCTGGTTTTCAGTTCTAATTCCTGAACCGGTTCGAACCCCTGCGCTCAACACATCAGCAAACACACACAACCACCCCACAACATGTTGACACAACATTGCTGTGCTTGCTAGGTCAGCACATACTGTTGACACATCAACCAGGACTTGATAATACTATCATATAGGATAATCATGTTTATCAATGTATATTTATAGAGCTTTGGTCCTCTGTTTCCCAACAGATGGGTGAGGAGGAAGACTTGTTTCAATGGCCAATGTCCACCAATAGACAAATAGACTGGACAAATACAGATGGCTACACACACGTACAGTGGGGGCTAGTCATCTGCTCTGTGTGTGATAGAGGGAGAGAGGTTGAGTATGTCATGGGAAAAGAAAGACAGAGGGACAGAGAGAGAGTCAGAGTCCTCATTCACCCGTGTGAGAGAGAGAGAGAGACACCTGTCTGCCTCTGCTTGCTGTCTTTCTGCTTGCCTAACTGCCTGCCTGTCTCCCTGTCTACCTCTCTGGCTATCTGCCTGCCTGCCTGCTCCCCCAACTGAAACCTCTTCCAATTATTCCTCCCTCTCCTCATCTCTGGCTGCCAGACACCACTAGCGATCAATAGCGCAGCGAGACGGCCTTCGTCAGGGGAAAAACTACCGGTGAAATGTGGCTTGTTACTGGCTCACGGGTGGGCGGATGGGCTGGGGGGATGGAGGAAGGGATGGGGGGATGGAGGGAGGGAGGAGAGATGACTACTGGATCATCTGACATGAGGATGACAACTGCTGCTGAGGGACGTGATGTTAAGGATACGCCTGTCAGCGGGGCCAGTTGGGGCTGAGGGTTTCCTATTAGCCCCCGTGCCGAGCAGCGTTTAGTAGAGGAGTGATATGCCGTGTGTTAGTGGGCTTCCTCCTGGGTGTGTGTGTGTGTGTGTGCAAGCACTCACACACACACACACACACACACACACACACTGTAACATCCTGCAAGATGAATGCAGAATCAAAGGCTGGGATTAATCATTATCTTTAGAACAAACTGTGAGACTACTCTCTCTCTCTCTCTCTCTCTCTCTCTCCCTCTCTCCTCCCTTCCTACTCTCCCTTTCCACAGCCTCCTCAGCTCTCTTACTGTGCGAGATGAATTCCATTTTGATTGGAAATGCACGCCTGTTTACTAGCTGATAAAAATTTCTAATATAGACAGAAAGATTAAAAACATACTGGGGAAAGAGAGCTAAAAAGACAGTAATGTTTCCCACCATTAAAGAATGCAACAGGTTATTACTGCATTTTAAGGTAAAAGCTCAATGAACCATCTCAAATATAAGAAATATGTCTACACATTTCAACTGTTCACCCAATTGCTGTCTGCTATTAAGATATTTACTTTTTTGACATTTTGTTAAGCGAAAACAGGTTTTTAAAATGTTTTGCAAAAGTATTCAGACCCTTTGCTGTGAGACTCTAAATTGAGCTCAGGTGCATCCTGTTTCCATTGATCATCCTTGAGATGTTTCTACAACTTGATTGGAGTCCACCTGTGGTAAATTCAATTGATTTTACATGATTTGGAAAGGCACACACCTGTCTATATTAGGTCCCACAGTTGACAGTGCATGTCAGAGCAAAAACCAAGCCATGAGGTCGAAGGAATTGTCCGTAGAGCTCTGAGACAGGATTGTGTCGAGGCACAGATCTGGGGAAGGGTACCAAAATAGTTCTGCAGCATTGAAGGTCCCAAGAACACAGTGGCCTCCATCATTCTTAAATGGAAGAAGTTTAGAACCACCAAGACTCTTCCTAGAGCTGGCCGCCCGGCCAAACTGAGTAATCAGGGGAGAAGGGCCTTGGTCAGGGAGGTCACCAAGAACCCGATGGTCACTCCGACAGAGCTCCAGAGTTCCTCTGTGGAGATGGGAGAACCATCCCTACGGTGAAGCATGGTGGTAGCAGCATCATGCTGTGGGGTTGTTTTTCAGTGGCAGGGACTGGGAGACTAGTCAGGATCGAGGAAAAGATTAACAGAGCAAAGTACAGAGAGATCCTTGATGAAAACCTGCTCCAGAGCGCTCAGGACCTCATACTGGGGCGAAGGTTCACCTTCCAACAGGACAACAACCCTAAGCACACAGCCAAGACAACGCAGGAGTGGCTTCGGGACAAGACTCTGAATGTCCTTGAGTGGCCCAGCCAGAGTCCGGACTAGAACCCGATCCAACATCTCTGGAGAGACCTGAAAATAGCTGTGCAGAGACGCTCCCCATCCAACCTGACAGAGCTTGAGAGGATCTGCAGAGAAGAATGGGAGAAACTCAAATACAGGTGTGCCAAGCTTGTAGCGTCATACCTAAGAAGACTTGAGACTGTAATCGCTGCCAAAGGTGCTTCAACAAAGTACTGAGTAAAGGGTCTGAATACTTGTGTAAATGTTATATTTCATTTTATTTATATTTGATAAATTTGCACCCCAAAAAATAACACATTTGCTTTGTCATTACGAGATATTGAGTGTAGATTGATGAGGAAAAACAACAATTTAATCAATTTTAGAATAAGGCTGTAACGTAACAAAATGTGGAAAAAGTCATGGGGTCTGAATACTTTCCGAACACACTGTATGTGTGCCTGCCTGGGCTGAAAATACCCATTCTTTCTTTCTCCATAACAACTGAGTGGAACAACAACTGATGTTGACTGCTCCCTCCGCCGATATGACCTCATGGTTACCGGGGTGATGGGCATTCCTGGCGCAGGGAGTGCTGTGATTGGCTGAGCCTGGCAAAGAGCTCTTAAATGGGTCAATGTGGTCAAGTGTCTCTATGGAGAAGGTGTGTGTGTGTGTGTGTGTGTGTATGTGTGCATATGTATATGAGGGAGAGAGATAGCTACAATATACGCTTTAGTTATACAGTATACAGCCACAAATACGGTATAAATGCAACCATGTTTGATTCTCTCTGTCCTTCTCTGACTCCACTTCTCTCTTTAGTTCCCTGTCTCTATATCCCACTCATGTATCACTTATCTATTTTCGCTGTGCCCCTCTCTGCCTCTTCTTGAGACCATAGAGACCAACACTGACCCCAAATGGTTGTGCTATGAAGAACACGTATTAGATCATTATTGCAGAGGCTCGGGTGAGGTGGCACTGCAACATAATATAAATGGCATGTGGATATCAAATATCCATATTCTTCTAATAGCAAGGCAACACTGAGGCACGGGTCAATTGCATGGCAACTTATGAGCATAATGCAGTGTGTCTGTGTATGTTCATCACTGCATAATGTTTGCTGCTTCTCAAACGGAGAGGGAGTACTGCAACACCAACCTACATGGTAAAGTCAGGGTCAGTGCGGCAGCGTGAAAAGGGTAAGGGTGTGTGAGGGTAGTCTCCGCAGCGCAGTGCAGATGCCCACGTCTAAATAAAGCCTTCAGTGTGTGTGTCCGTGGTGAGGAGGGAGACACCCTATCCCCACAGAAAGCTCTGGGGCTGGGCCTCCAGAGCACCCATGATGGGTGACACACACCGGAGCTAGTCTCACTCACACACCCATACCCACATCCACATACAGACACAGACACATAATACAGGAGAGAGTGGGGTCCTACTTGAAGCTCTCGGGGTGTTGACTGAGGGCTAGTGTGAGGGTTTCGAGGGCGTGTTGGTGGTGTTTCTGGGCGCTGAGCAGCAGGGTCAGCAGGTGGAGGGAGTGCAGGTCATCCCCATGTAAAGACAGAGCCACCTGCAGGGGATCCATGGCAGCTGCTACCTGAACACACACACACACACCTACAGTGAAGAGAATAAACCCAAGGACTAGAGAGGCATAAGATCCAAGATGGAGAACCACTAACATTTACATTTTACATTTTAGTCATTTAGCAGACGCTCTTATCCAGAGCGACTTACAGTTAGTGAATATTTTTTATACTGCCCCCCCGTGGGAATCGAACCCACAACCCTGGCGTTGCAAACGCCATGCTCTATCAACTGAGCTACATCCCTGCCGGCCATTCCCAATTGTGAGCCGCCCATGACTAAGAGGAGCCGTAATGGTGCGTGTGTGCGTGTGCTGACTGACCTGCCGTACAAGAGCCAGCTGGAGCGACAGGTAGAGGGCGATCTTAGCATCATTGGGGTCCAGTGCATAGGCTCTGCAGAAGAGAGAAGTCACACTCACTGACAATGCAGAATAACACACAAACTGTAGTGCATGCTAACTATAGAAACAAACACACAGGTTAAGACCAACCTACATTTTAGTCATTTAGCAGACGCTCTTATCCAGAGCGACTTACAGGAGCAATTAGGGTTAAGTGCCTTGACTTAAGGCACATCGACAGATTTTCACCTAGTCGGCTCGGGGATTAGAACCAGCGACCTTTCGGTTACTGGCACAACGCTCTTACCCACTAAGCCACCTGCCGCCTAGACTGACAGAGAGAGGTTGGCAGTTGGTACATACTTTTGCACATTTTGCAGTGCTCGTCTGTTGAACCCATCCCGCTCAGCTTTCAGAGTGGCTAGAGAGAGATTAGGTACAGAGGGACATATCAATTTGTGGAAAACAATACATTTTGGGCGACATTTTCATGGTAGAATATAATGAGGTTTACGGTATCTTTCGCACAGTTCTACGGTCTTTTGCACCATTAATTATTTTTACGTCACCCTTTGTGAGTAACACCTCATATTCATCCATACACAATTCACCTCTGAATTAGATACTGCATAAGCGATGGGGAAGGGAAATTAGGAAGGAAAACTATGGATTTTATCAGGACAAGTGAGGTGTAGTGGGTTCTGTAAGTGCCGGTTTCTCACTGTATCTGGAGAAGGGACACTGTTTGTTACAAGAAACGAATCCTGCCTCTATAGCAGCTCATAGTGGTGTCTCTTACCGTCAGAGGCCTGCAGACTGCAGCAAAGCCCCACAGTCAGGTACGCACGCGGCAAAAACTCTGCAGCCTCCTCTCCCATGGACACCACACTCTGAGACAGGGCCTCTGCCTCCTCCAGCTATCACACACAGAGATAACAGTCAGATGCGGTATGGGTCCCTAGAAGTACAGTGTATAGTCTGCTGAAGTACTTCATATGTAACCTTGTGAGGTCAGCTGTGAGCTCAAGTGTTTAAAGGCATGTTCAGTTTGTTCCGTTTGTCTTGTTTAGTGAGCTTTTGTATTTGAATAGTATAGAGAGTTTGTATCTGAAGGGCTGTATCGTAGGCAGAATGACATTGTGGGAAAAGGCAGTGTGTGGTTAGTGTGAGGAGGACTGTAGATTCAGGTGAAGAACAGCGCACTATAGAGTCCCCCCTCAAACAGCGCCAGACTGCAGTCAGTGTAGCTGAGCTGGGCTGAGCTGGGCTGAGCTAAAAGTGTGTCACTCAGTGTAAGCTACGGGGAGGGGTCGGTGACAGGTCTTTGAAACGGTGCCATCAGAACAGCAGGACAGCTGCTTAGACGACCCCCCCTCTCCTCTCTTACTCCTGTACCATAAGCCCTTCACTCTCTCTTTCTATCTCTCCCCTTCCTCATCCTCCTCCTCCTCTCTCTCTATCCCTCTCTTTCTCAGAATACGGATGCTATCAACAAAGTTCCATACAATATTATTATGTTCCATCCATGAATCTTAGAGAATAAATTAGAGCTGTCCTGTTGTTGATACAGGAGGGGGTAGTTTCTAAAACATTTTAGAAAAAGGTTCAGTGCCATTATCCTCGCAGGGTGAGCTATTGAAAGGTACTTAAAATAGGGGTGTCAATAATTTTGAACTCTACCTTTTTGTGGAAAAATAATAATAATACCTGTTAAACAAAATTATAATTATATCATTATAAAAGCATAACATTTCCCAATTTTTTTGAGCATACAATGTAGCTCAGTATTTTGATTATTTATTTTATACAGTCATTTTTGCTCATCTTTATCATGTATGTATATTGATCACTCCACTCCTACCAACTAGGAGTCAAAGTTCCTGGAATCACTCTAGTCCCATAGTCCCAGACTCCCAGATTTTACAGCGCAAATGTGTGGTTCCATGGTCGGTTATTGGGTCCAGATGTATTGTCATTCGTTTCTCTATGGTCCCATAGTGTCTTATTGTGATTAAGGCTATAAGCCCCTTAGTCTCTCTAGACACCCCTGATCTCTAGCTCCTCTGTTGCACTGACAGATGTGCCATGCCATCATGTGTCTCCTAATCCTACACTACCCCCCTCCTGGATCAACAGGACAGGCAGCACTGGGCTGGCTACCACAGTGGTGGGGTGGGAGGGCGTTGTTAGTGTGGAGTGTTGTTGTGTAATAATGGGTGCAGCTATTCTGGATGGTGACCGACTTCCCGTATGGATGGTATACATGGTATGTAGTGTAAATGTATCGTGAAATAGAAAGAGTGTGTGTGTCATTCACCCAGTGCAGCTGGCCGATGCAGACTTTGGCGGCCAACATGGGCAGTGAGGGGTCCTCGGGCCTCATCCTGGCACACTCCTTGAGCACAGACACCGCGCCCACACCCTGTAAAACACACAGACACACACACACGGTTACTGACACATCGAGAAAAGACGTCACACACCCACAGACACTCACATATTCATGCTTACACACACACACACACACAATCTCATACTGTAGTGACAGACACAAACTAGTCTAGTGATAGAACAGGAGTATAGATCACACACACATTTACTATCCATATAGAGTAACACAGATACGGACTCATATAGCTCATTCATCAATGCACTACAAACACTCTCTATCACACACACACGGCTGGCTCTAAATAGAAGCGGATCTGACGACACTGAGGCAGCCCCCCATCCTTATAGTGAGCAGCCTATTTCCAGAGTTCTCCATTGATCTGCAGTGTCACCTCATCCTACATGCAGCCAGGCAAAGGAGGAGATCAATTATCCTGTTTCACTCGGAGGATTCCAGATCTGTGTCACACTACGCATCTCTCATTATCACCCAATAAGCGCTCACTCAGTCATTCCAATGCACACACAACCTCACAGCAACATTTAGAAGATGAGTGAGCCTATATGCTTGCAAGCAGGTAGTGGTGCCAGATTACAGTAGGATAGAGAGTGTGTGTGTGTGTGTGTGTGCATGATGGGGAATGTGTGAAAATATATGATGATGAGCTCACCTTCCCACATGCCATGAGTGACAAGCCCAACTGGTGCCAGAGGTGGAACTCATTAAACGAGAACTTCATGGCCCGCTCCAGACACTGGAGAACACATACATACGTGCATGCACACAGACACACACACGCACGCACACACACAGATGCATTTTAGCTTGCAGAGCAGACATATCAACACACGTTGTTGAATGATGAATGTTGAAATCTTGGATCCAAGATGGCGTAGCAGTGCGGTCGTGTTCTTTGTTGTGTGTCCGTGAAAATAGCCAGTTTTTTGTATTTTTGTATATATTTCCCTATCACACTTTTCATCCTTCTACTAAATATACTTTCCTGCAACCCGCCTCACTCAATGTGGAACGGATTCTATTATTTACTCACCTTTATCTAGAATCTCCAGTTGAAACTAGCTAGCCAGCTAACTAGCTACTTGCTATTAGCTTCCGTTTGCGGTTTTCACCCAGAACATCAGATTTTCTGCCGGAATAACTGAATCACTGGACCCTAACACCGGATCGCAACTAGCTAGCCGCAACCGAATGGATGTTGCTGTAGGCTAATTACCACTGCCCCCCGAAGCAAGCACCAGTTAGCCTTGAGCCAGGCCCATATCCCGGCTATCTACCTCTTTGTCTACCGGACGGGAGTAGCCAGCTAACTAGCTACTTGCTATTAGCCACCGTTAGCGGTTTTCAACCATTGTCCGTGGCCTGCACTACCTACCAGCCAGCTCTAGCCTGGACTATTATCGGCCCGTCTGCACTGTCTGCACAGCGCGTTATCGACCCAGAACATATCGGATTTTCTGCTGGAATCACTAAATCACTGGACCTTTAACACCTGATCATCGTAACTAGCTAGCTGCAACCAAATGAATGTTGTTGTTGACTAATCAGCCTTGAGCTAGCCTCGAGTCAGGCACATCTTCCGGCTATCTACCTCTCTGTGAACTGGACGGGACCTCCTAGAGTCGACACGGAGCCCCGCCGATCCATCACGACTGGTCTACCGACGTAATCGTCTGTGGTTTCAACAGGCTTCCCGTTGCGACGACCACGAAGATCCATCTGCTAGCCCCGGCCCGCTAGCACACGCAAACAACAGCCGGGCTTCCTGCTCGCTGTGCTTTAGCACCAATTCTAACTGCTCTCGGACTCACATATTGCTGTTCACTGGACCTTATGATCACTCAGCTGCACAGCTGATGTCTGCTGGACTGTTCCTTTACACAGTACCCTGTCCTGTTTGTCTGTTTAGCCTCAGCCCAAACTTTCATCGCCATTACCAGTTGTTGTCTTAGCTCTCTCTAATAACACCTGTGATTGCTTTATGCCTCTCTCCCATGTCAATATGCCTTGCCTATTGCTGTTCCAGTTAGTTATTTTTATACAATTTCAATATAGAACCCCAAGTCATTCTCAAACTGCCTCAAATAGCTCCTTTGTTCCACCCCCCATACACGCTGAGACCGGCTCAATCGGTGCCTCCAGTGATGCTATCTCTCTCATTGTTACCCAACGCTTAGGTTTACCTCCACTGTACTCATATCCTTCCATATCCTTGTCTGTACATAATGCCCTGAATCTATTCTACAACGCCCGGAAATCTGCCCCCTTTATTCTCTGTACCCAACGCACTAGAAGACCAGTTCTTAAAGCCTTTAGCCGTATCCTTATTCTAGTCCTCCTCTGTTCCTCTGGTGATGTAGAGGCTAACCCAGGCCCTGCAGACCCCAGTATCACTCCTACTCCCCAGGAGTTATCATTTGTTGACTTCTGTAACCGTAAAAGCCTTGGTTTTCTGCACGTTAACATCAGAAGCCTCCTTCCTACGTTTGAGTTATTCACTGCGTTAGCACACTCCGCCAACCCTGATGTTCTAGCAGTGTCTGAATCCTGGCTTAGGAAGGCCACCAAAAATTCAGAAATGTCCATCCCCAACTACAACATTTTCCGTCTAGATAGAACTGCCAAAGGGGGTGGAGTTGCAATCTACTGTAAAGATAGCCTGCAGAGCTCTATCATACTATCCAGGTATGTGCCCAAACAGTTTGAGCTCCTTCTTCTAAAAATCCACCTTTCCAGAAATAAGTCTCTCATTGTTGCCGCTTGCTACAGACCACCCTCAGCCCCCAGCTGTGCCCTGGACACCATATGTGAATTGATTGCCCCCCATCTATCCTCAGAGTTTGTACTGCTTGGTGACCTAAACTGGGATATGCTTAACACCCTGGCCATCCTACAATCCAAACTAGATGCCCTCAATCTCACACAAATTATCAAGGAACCTACCAGGTACAACCCTAAATCCGTAAACATGGGCACCCTCATAGATATCATCCTGACTAACTTACCCTCTAAATACACCTCCGCTGTCTTCAACCAGGATCTCAGCGATCACTGCCTTATTGCCTGCGTCCGTAACGGGTCCAAGACCACCCCTCACACGTCAAACGTCCTAAAACACTTTGGCGAGCCACTATTACCTGCCAGGTATCCAGCGATCTCATCCGTCAGTAGACTGTTGTTCTCTCCTATCTTAAATAAGCATGCCCTTCAAAAAGCGACTAAGAACAATGAGCCCTGTTCTCTAGATTGACTCTGACCAGCACAAAACATCCGTGTATGCATAGGAATAGCCCCCGCTATGTTTTCGGAAGTAGGAACCAATATACACAAGCAGTTAGGAAAGCAAGCATCTTTTCAACAGAAATGTGCATCCTGTAGCACTAATCAAAAGGTTGGGACACGTAAGATGGGAATGAGACCTCCTCCAGCTGCACATGCACTGAGGTAGGAAACACTTCACCACAGATTTCTAAATAACAGTTTCACAGCATCTTGCGCCATGCTTCACTGGCTACCATAGGCCACCAGTCGCATCTGAAATTGCCAGCCCCCCCCCGCCCGTTTCTTTCACACATAAGACAAGCTGAGTTCTGAAAGAGCTGCAAATCTGGAAACCCTATCATCTGGGCTAGCAATCTGACCCTTTCTATTAAAATAGCCGCCGAAATTTCACAACCCTATTACTCTTCACTCTTTTCGTAACGTCTGAGATCCCCAGAGATTGGAAAGCTGCCGTGTTCATCCCCTTCTTCAAAGGGGGTGACACTCTAGATCCAAACTGTTACAGACTATATCATTCCCTGCTTCGAAATTTTTAAAAACAAGTAACAAACAGATAACCGACATTATCACCGTACTTCCTATGCACGGTTTCGAGCTGGTAAGTTTTTTAGTCAAGCAGACGCTCTTATCAGAGCGACTTACACATGCATTACTTTTTATTTCATATGCCCCCCGTGGAATCGACCGACAACATGCGTTGCAAACGCCATGCTCTACCAGAGCTACCTCCTGCGCCTCCCTCCCCTACCTGACGATGCTGGCATTGGCACGCCCATCCCGGTGCGGCGGTACAGCGAGCTGCCAGGATCTCTAGTGGGTGCACTGCGAGCAGTGCCTTAGACAGCGCCACCGGAGGGTGACACCAGTCAAGGTCCTAAAGATATAATAACCGCGATAGATAATAGACAGTACTGTGCAGCCGTCTTCATCGACCTGGCCAAGGCTTTCGACTCTGTCAACCACCGCATTCTTATTGGCAGACTAAATAGCCTTGGTTTCTCAAATGACTGCCTCGCCTGGTTCACCAACTACTTCTCAGATAGAGTTCAATGTGTCAAATCGGAGGGCCTGTTGTCTGGACCTATGGCAGTCTCTATGGGGGTGCCACAGGGTTCAATTCTTGGGCCGACTCTTTCCTCCGTGTATATCAATGATGTCGCTCTTGCTGCTGGTGACTCTCAGATCCACCTCTATGCAGACGACACCCTTTTGTATACATCTGGCCCTTCATTAGACACTGTGTTAACAAACCTCCAAACGAGCTTCAATGCCATACAACACTCCTTCCGTAGCCTCCAACTGCTCTTAAACACTAGTAAAACTAAATGCATGCTCTTCAATCGAACGCTGCTGGCACCCGCCCACCCGACTAGAATCACTACTCTCGACCGGTCTGACCTAGAGCATGTGGACAACTACAAACACCTAGGTGTCTGGTTAGACTGTAAACTCTCCTTCCAGACTCACATTAAGCATCTCCAATCCAAAGTTAAATCTAGAATCGGCTTCCTATTTCGCAACAAAGCCTCCTTCACTCATGCTGCCAAACATGCCCTCGTAAAACTGACTATCCTACCGATCCTTGACTTCGGCGATGTCATTTACAAAATAGCCTCCAACACTCTACTCAGCAAATTGGATGTAGTCTATCACAGAGCCATCCGTTTTGTCACCAAAGCCCCATATACTACCCACCACTGTGACCTGTACACTCTTGTTGGCTGGTCCTCACTACATATTCGTCGCCAAACCCACTGGCTCCAGGCCATCTATAAATCACTGCTAGGCAAATCTCCGCCTTATCTTAGCTCATTGGTCACCATAGCAACACCCACCCGTAGTATGCGCTCCAGCAGGTATATCTCCCTGGTCATCCCCAAAGCCAACACCTCCTTTGGCCGCCATTCCTTCCAGTTCTCTGCTGCCAATGACTGGAACAAACGGCAAAAATCTCTGAAGCTGGAGACTCTTATCTCCCTCACTAACTTTAAGCATCAGTTGTCAGAGCACCTTACCGATCACTGCACCTGTACACAGCCCTTCTGAAATTAGCCCACTCAACTACCTCATCCCCATATTGTTTTTTATTTTGCTAATTTGCACCCCAGTATCTCTATTTGCACATCATCTCTTGCACATCTATCATTCCAGTGTTAATACTAATTGTAATTATTTTGCACTATGGCCTATTTATTGCCTTACCTCCATAACTTGCTACATTTGCACACACTGTATATATATTTTCTGTGGTATTTTTGACTTTATGTTTTGTTTTACCCCATATGTAACTCTGTGTTGTTGTGTTTATCGCACTGCTTTGCTTTATCTTGGCCAGGTCGCAGTTGTAAATGAGAACTTGTTCTCAACTGGCTTACCTGGTTAAATAAAAGGTGAAATAAATAAAAATAAAATAAATAAAAATGAGGGTGAGGTTGAAGGTTGAGGGTTTGAGGTTTATTTAAAGAGCTCTAACTAGCTGCCCACACCGTGACACCTATGAGAGGAATGATGTTAGCCAGGCAGAAAGACATAACCAGCGTCTATTGTTAGCTAGCCTAGTGGCACCCTGCATGGCCCCACACGTGAGAGGGTTCACCTGTTTGGCAGTGCTCACTCTCATTCACCTGGAGAAAAATGCTGCCAACCTGAATGTAAATAGAGAGAAGACTGGGTAAGCCAGAGAGACAGAGAGAGAATAAGTGAGAAAGAAAGAGAAAGAAAGAAAGAAAGAAAGAAAGAAAGAAAGAAAGAAAGAAAGAAAGAAAGAAAGAAAGAAAGAAAGAAAGAAAGAAAGAGAGAGAGCACCCAACTATGCTTGAAAGTATATGACACAACAAGGTCATTACAAAGTTGTCAGGCAAGTCTTTCCCTTCACACAGTGTAGCTAGTTAGGTTGAAGTATCTCCTATCCTCCCTTTAGCCTCCAGTGTTTTCGAGGCAGGCTCACCTCGGACAGCATGGCATACTGCCCCCTCCTGGCCATGCCGATGCTCAGCAGGTCGTAGACAGAGGTGGCGTCCTGCAGACTGGTTTCCCGCACCTCCTTATGGTCCGGCGCTCGGCTGATGACTGCATCTCCGCTAGCCTATAGGGGGAGATTACAGATTTAGGATCAGATTCAACACAAGGCTGTTGCAATAGTAGGCCTATGAAGTGGCTTTTAATCTGCTGGTATCCTTTCCTTTCCCTGTATTGACGGGACAAGTGAAAGCTAGCCTTACACCTGTCAAGCTTTTTTGAGATCAATGTAGAATCTACATACATTGTAGATGAAGGAGAGGGCACAAAAATATCCCACAAGAATGTCCAATCAACAAATGTCAAAGTAAGCAAATACATTTCGGTAATATATATGGCCTCGGAGACAGGAAAAGTGTGTAAAAACAGAAAGAGAGAGGGGTGAGGGAGAGAGAGGGAGAGATGGAAGGAGAGAGAGGGAAAGAGGGAGGGGGAGGGCTGTCTCACCATGGATTCTGTGATGAGCAGCAGGAGCACGGCCTCCTCAACCACGTCCTGGGGACAGAAGACACTGCGAGGAGACACAGGAGATAGGAGCAGGAAGTGACACGTCACACAACAACCCCATACCGTGGCTAGATCACGGGGAGTGTCCTGTTTCTACTTCACCTGCTGGTGGTGTAAGACAACCCTCTGACCACCCCCACAGTATCACAGCACTCCGCTCTCTCGGGTGTCTCTCACATGCACGTGCACAAAATGTGTACGCACGAACATACACGCGTGTACACGTTTGCCACCTTCCTTGGTCCCTCTCTTTTCTCTGGCATGTTTTCCATTCCTCCCACCCATCACTTTCACCATCTCACTCTCTCTCTCTCCCTCCCTCTTATTCTATCTTGACTGCCCTCTGGCTGAGCCCCTGATGTACCGACTAAAGATATAATTACAAGACAATATCAAGGCACTTCTAAAGAAGTAACCCATGACAACGAATCGGGCGTACAACAACAGCACTTTATTTCCCTGAGTGCATTCTCCATTTCTGTTCTTGTGTTCTCACTCATGCATGTTGTTTGGGGTGCAGCATTTGATATCCTCTGAGGATAGCGCATACCAATAAGATATTATATTCGATATGGTGGAACAGCCAAAGGTAAGTCCCTGACAAAGCCTCTAAAGCTTGACAAAGGCAACATGAGTCCACAGAGCTCCTAGCCAATACGAGTCAGACTGTGGTGAGATCAAGTTATGTTCCATGTGTGGGTTTTGTATGACCAGAATAGTGGACGTCTGGACCTCTAGGGAGGTCTGTCTTATTGATGCTCTGGGACTATTTAAGCTCAACGGTTCAGTAGGGTCACACACAACTCACTGTAGGGGAACGTGAGCTGATCTCTCAAGCCAGTGCTAAAGCTAAATGATCAGGGGATTGAGTAATATCAGTGGATTAATGGAATTACACATGAATAGAAAAGAAAGAGAGGAGATAAAGTGAGGGAGAGAGAGAGAGGAAGGAAAAGAAGAAGAGAGGAGAGGTACAGACCTGTCAGTCCTGTAGCATTGAGGTGGTTTGGAAGAGGGGTACATGGCATCCTTTGGGCCGGCGTTCCCTTCTCTCTGCAGCCAGGCGGAGGGTGGGAGGGACATGGGGGCCCAGTAGCTGTCCTCACTCACCGAGCTCAGCAACACCTCAGCCAGCTTCCGTGCTGCAGCCTATGAGACACATTAATTAACATGCCATATGATGCCATAAAACATAACTAGGATATAACTAGGGCCAGGACAGTTTCCTGACTTAGTCAAGTCACGTGGTCAGGAAAACCTCCAGGCCGTAAAGATTAAATACATATAGACAGTCATCCTGCGTGACTCATCCTGCGAACTAGGTGAAAATGTGAGCCCTCCTCACCTTCCTGAAGCTCTGGGAGCCCCGAGACTCCACCACCCTGAGGACCCTGCGCAGCTGTTGGGCTCCCTGGGCCAGGTGACTGACAGACAGACAGACAGACAACAGAAAGACAAGACAGACATTCAGACAGAGACATGCAGACAGACAAACAGACGGACAGACAGACGGACAGACAGACAAACAGATGGACAGACAGACGGACAGGGTATTCAGTGTCTAGGGCCTTGTTAGTCAGTGCCAGCAGCACAGCATGCTGCTCCAACTATGTATAAATGAGTGGAGCACTGGAGCTAAATCGTGCCACTACAAGCAATGACTCTGTCCTATCTGAGGTGCAATACTGAAACCTACTGGTCAAAAACAAAAGTGCCACTTGCTGTTGCTGAAATCACAATGCACTGCTCCAGAGAGGAAGAGGCGAAGCCTCCACCATCTTTGACTGCTCTACTGGACCATTTACTCACCCCCTATGCAGCAGACACAGGTATGCACTCTGTAGCGCCGCCTGCTGGAAGAAGCCCAGGTCAATGTCCAGTGGTGGAGGGGCCAAACTGGTCTTAGCTGCTTTAGAACTAAGGGTGACCACCGTCTGCCAACACAACAGTAACAACTTCAGTTGGTAAACACATACACCAAGTAGTTTTGTGCTGCTTTGTATCATTGAATCATACAAAAACACACAGACACACCTTATCGAGCTCTTGCAGGTAAACGAGAGCGGTGTCGCAGGCCCTCAGGTAACAGGACAGACATTCCTCCTCTCTCTCAGACAGACGGAGACGGGAGGCAGCGGACACTGCCTGGTGGTCCAGGGACAGACCTGAGAGAGAGAGAGAGAGAGAGAGAGAGAGAGAGAGAGAGAGAGAACGGGGAGAGAGAGATACAGAGGGAGGGAGAAATAAATAAATAATATTTGGGTTTTGGGTTTTTTAATTTGACACTGAAAACAAATAGCACTGTAGCTTGTAGGAAGACGCCAGCTTGTTTAGTATGGAAAATGTATCATTTCGAGACAATGAGTGTATGGGAGGAAGAGCTTGGGATAGATGGCTGGAGGGGGAATATGGTTATTGGTATAAATAAATAAATAAATAAATAAATAAATAAATAGAGTGAGAGGAGACCTCCAGGATTGCAGGGAGGACACGGCCAGACGACATCCTTAATCAAATAAGGAGCAGCTGCCAATAGACAAGACCTCATCTAACAAATATTCCTATCTCATAACATTCCCAAAACAATATAATGGAAACCTTGGAAGGATGTTGAGAAACTATGCAATGTCAAACCCTTTACATAGTTGAGTGATTCCCATCAGATCTTCGCTTTCTTAAGCACTCTTTCCTTTGAGCATATTGGCTTGACTCTAGTATTATTCTCCTAACATGACTTATAGTCCATTATGGTTTATTCAATGATAGACATCAACAAGGCTGCTTCATGAATTCTTCCCTTCAATCTATGCAGCAGACACTGTGATAGGAAGCAATGACTGTTTGAATGTAATGCATCTCATGATGATGATGAGTGATGCTTCTCGAACACAATTATCCAGACATGGACCAGCAGTGTGTTGTGTGTGACAATAGACAATGCCCTCTGTTTCACTGTGTGTGTGTGTGTGCATGTGGAAACTCTGCCTAACAGAACTCATAGTTCCAGTCCAACTATATATAGTGGGTTCCCTAGAGACAGCTTGCATTACTTAAGACTAAATTCTGAATAAGTTCCCATTTTCTTTGTAATCACTTCCCAGAGAGGTCTAAAACCAGGAACTGATTTGGGATGAAGAACAAACACACACAAAGACACACACATAACAATACCTTTGGCAAGTGAATCAATGTATAGCAATGTGTCAAGTCAAATTTCCTCCCTCATGTAAATTAACACGTGGTCAATGCTTCCTTTCTTTCACAGCCTAAAAGGAGAAAACTCACCAGACCGATTGTCGGTCTGTACAGTGGGGGGCCGTTCATTTGCCATTTGTTCGCTTGCTGACGGTTCGGTCTGTTATAGGGTCCACCTGCCGGCACTGTTCAGAGGTGCTAAGTACTCTCAGCCGGCAGACACTTGACAATCTTACTGGTCAGTAAAGATTTCACTACATTCATATAAACATACCTGGGGTATTGAGGTACTGAGGTTTCCCAGGCACATTTCATTCTAATGATTGTATTCAGACAGCCTAGAAAGGGCGACTTCTAAACCCATACAAGGTTATAGTCATCACAGGCCTATAATAACTCCTACCATGGGGATTAGGAAATAGATCATTAAGTACATTTATGCACAGTGCTGTTCAACTTCAGTGTTTTTCAGGGAAACGTGCTAGTCTGCAGGCTTTGGCTGTCTCTTTGTCTAGTTCATCGGAGAGTGAGTAGTGCCAGTATGCAAATCATATTTGAGATCCATGTAATCATTACACTGTACAGATGGAGACTAAAACCAGAGGACACCTGATAGAAATCATCATCATTTGTAGCTCTGGGCTTGTATTTATAAAGCGTCTCATAGTAGGTGTGTTGATCTAGGATCAGTTTTGCTATTTAGATTATAATGAATGGACAGGGGGGGACCTGATCCTAGATCAGCACTCCTACTCAGATGCTTTATGAAAACTGGCCCTGGTCATTTGTTTACTTTGTGCATTGAATGTCCATCTTAGTATAGGTCAGGGATGGGCAACTGGCAACCTGGCAGCCTGGCAGCCTGCGGGCCGCACAATTTTGAAGGCCCTCGGATCAACCCCCCCCCCCCAATTTACTGTTGCCCATGTCAGCTAAAAATGTTTTTGATTAGTAAGTTAGTCTAGCGGCCAGTTATCTAAACTTGTATTATAAACTGGGTGGGTCGAGCCCTGAATGCTGATTGGCTGACAGACGTGGTATATCAGACCGTATACCACGGGTATGACAAATTTAAGTTGGTAACCAGTTTATAATAGCAATAAGGCACCTCAGGGTTTGTGGTATATGGCCAATATACCACGGCTAAGGGCTGTATCCAGGCACTCCGCGTTGCGTCGCGCTTAAGAACAGCCCTTAGCCGTGGTATATTGGCCATATACCACAAACCCTGAGGTGCCTTATTGCTTAAGAAATAATGACGAGTTCAGATTTTTTGTGGCCCCCACCCCCATCAAAGTTGCCCATCCCTGGTATAGGTCATATTCAGGTCAACATTTCAGGTAACACAGAATGTTTAGTCTGTCTGCAAAAAAAATTTTTACATAACTAAATACCACACAGGTCAAACATTGTGTTTTCCATATTTCATTCCACCCAGTATTTGCTTATGAAAGGATTGGTACCTTTGATGACAAAGGCCTCTGCGAGCAGACGCAGGTGGTAGATGGGCTGCTCGTCCCCCGTCAGCTCGTCTATGCCCACCCTTGCACACATGCCCTGGGCGTCACGGTAATCGCCCTGGACATAGTGTATTTTGGCCATCAGAAGAAGAGCCTCGTTCAGGTGCCTGGGCTGTGTGGGGCCAGACAGAGAGAGAGACACAACACGAAGGCTGTTACGAGAGACTAAGTGAAGGGTGACAGAGAAAACAGGTACACATATAAAGAATAGACTGATTGGAAACTTGGTGAGACAAGTTAACAAGATATAAAGCTAAGTAGAATAGGAGGAAGTAAGATGTAGAGGGAGGTGACACAGAGAGGAGATGCTCAGACTAACCCCCAGGCGCCCCCTGCTCAGGATGGAGTTGAGGTAGCCCTTGGACCGGGACAGTTTGGGCTGATTGATGTCCGTCAAAGGCGTAGCGTTGCGTAACAAACTCAGGTTGTCCTGTAGACTCTCCTCTAGCAGGGCCTCGGCCAATAACAGCGTCCCGTAGTCATCTGGAGGAGGGCACAGGGAAATAGGACAGAATTCAGAGTAGTGGAGGGGTAGGTGGGCTGAGTGCAGAGTGGGAGTCCAGGGTCAGGGGTCAGCTGCTTTGGGACACAAAATAAACCCAGCCCAGTCCATCATAGCATAATTTCCCACAAGCCCCAGAGAGAAGGGAGAAAAAACACCAGGGGCGCCTAAAACTGAAGTCACTGGATGGCAATAAAAGTCACTTGTTTACACATTCTGGATTAGAGCCTCCATGTTTGGTCCAGCTCTCACTTCTCTCACTCCTCTCCCGTCTCTGGTGGCGTGTTCTGACGCCAAGTCTGTGACTGGTGTTTATGTCCTGGCATCTCTGACATACTGTAGCGCATCATGCTTATGAGACTGTCCCAGTCAAGGTTTATCACTGAAAGGGAGGATAGGGGCTGGAGAATGTATAATGTGATGTACAGGGTTCGGGAGTAACAGATTACATGTACAAATATTGTAATCAGATTACAGATACTTTTGAAAAATTTGATGATTACCTCTTGGATTACTTTTAAATTCACAAAGGATGTTTGTGAAAAAATACATTGACTCCTTTCTGTTTTCTCAATGACATTCAATTCAACATTGAAAAAAGGCCACATTTTAAGTTTGCTCCACCTGAGCGGGTCTGACCACAAGTCAGACTACTATGATGACACACCAAATGCGTTTGATGGATAATTTTTGTCTTCTTCTAATGCCTCTTAAGGGGAAAGTAATCCAAAAGTAACGGGAAGTTATCAGATTATGTTACTGAGGTTGGGTGATCCAAAAGTTATGTTACTGATTACAATTTTGGACAGGTAACTAGTAACGGATTACATTTAGAAAGTAACCCACCCAACCCTGGTGATGTATATGTATATGGTGTCTAAACACATAAAACAAATAATTATGCTCTATAAAACATTAACTACAATATAACCGCAATGTGGCATGTTCATGTGGTGCATAACTTGTATGAATTCTTCAGGAGAATAACAAATCCTCTACAAGGCATCTGAATAAAAGCTACATTATTTTCAACACATTGATCCCAAAACTTCCTGGTCAGAGACTGATCACCCTTGTCTTGAATTGCAACAAATAGGGTCAGTGTTGTTACAAAATCAAGAATGACAAAACTGTGGGCAAACTGTCAACATCAAGACTGACTTTAACAGCAGACCAGCTAGGGATGACTTGAATTATACACACTCTAGCACAGGGGTGTCAAACGTCCGGCCCGCGGGCCGGATCAGGCCCGCAAACGGGTTTAATCCGGCCCGCGAGATGATTTAAAAAAAAAAAAATAATAATAATAATAATAATAATAATTTTGTAAAGTATAAAAATGCGCTGCAATTTTTCTATAACATAAACTGCTGTTCCAATTGCGTCCACTGGATGGAGCAATAGCAATTGTGTTAAGCAAGCAAACTGTTTATACCGGGGCAGAGCAAGTAGGTCAAGCACGTGCAGCCAATGAGCTACTTTGTTTTGCCCGCGATATTTATTACGGCTTCTACTTTTAACATTATGTGCTTTGGCACCCTCATTGCCCCAATATGTCTCTGTCAAAAAAGAGAAAAGTGGACGCAGAGTGCAGAGTGTTCCAAGAAAAATGGTCATCCTATTTATTCACGGAATTGAATGGGAAAGCTGTATGTTTGGTGTGTTCAGAGCATGTTGCAGTGCTGAAAGAATATAACCTTCGTCGCCAGTATATGAGTCTTCATGCCGACAAATATGACAACTTTCAAGGACAGCGGAGATGAGAGAAGGTGAATGAACTGTTGGCGGGTCTGAAGAAACAGCAGTCTGTGTTTACTCACAGCCGAGACAGTGACGCTGCAGTAAAAGCTAGCTACCTCATTGCTAATGAAATCGCAGTGGCTTCAAAACCATTTAGTGAGGGTGAATTTGTAAAAACATGCATGATGAAGGCAGCGGAGATTGTGTGCCCTGAAAAGCGGCAGGCTTTTGCAAATATCAGCCTGACAAGAAACACAGTTGCAGACAGGATTTCCGATCTTTCAGTGGATTTGGACAGCCAGTTGAAGCAAAAAGTAAAGTCATTTATTGCGTTTTCGGTTGCAATTGATGAAAGCACGGACATTACAGATGTTGCACAACTGGCCATTTTCATCCGCGGAGTTGATGACACATTGACCGTCACCGAGGAGTTCGTGGAGTTGGTGCCGATGACAGATACAACGACAGCAGCTGATATTTTTACCGCACTCGTCGGCGCGCTGGACAGGGTCGGAGTGGACTGGTCCCGCGCTGTCAGCCTGGCTACAGATGGTGCGCCCTCAATGATCGGGAAAAAAGCAGGCGTTGTGACAAAGTTCAGAGAGAAAGTGCAATCTGCAAATGGAGGATGTGATTTTTTGACTTTTCACTGTATTTTGCACCAGGAGGCTTTGTGTTGCAAGTCATTAAAGATGGATAACGTCATGAAGGTGGTCATCCAAACTGTTAATTTCATCCGATCCAGAAGCCTGAATCACCGTCAGTTTGACAGCCTTCTCAGAGAGAAAGACCACATCTATGGACTGCCATACCACACTGAGGTAAGATGGTTAAGCCGAGGTGCTGTGCTGAGGCGTTTCTTTGATTTACGAGAAGAAATTGAACAGTTCATGGAAGAAAAGGGCAAACCAGTGTTAGAATTTCATTCCGCAGAATGGATGCAGGACCTTGCATTTATGGTGGCAGGTAGCTTAGTGGTTAAGAGCGTAGTGCCAGTAACCGAAAGGTCGCTGGTTCTAATCCCAGAGCCGACTAGGTGAAAAATCTGTTGATGTGCCCTTGAGCAAGGCACTTAACCCTAATTGCTCCTGTAAGTCGCTCTGGATAAGAGCGTCTGCTAAATGACTAAAATGTAAATGTAATGGTGGATGTTACAGAGCACCTGAATAACTTGAACAAACAGCTGCAAGGGCGCAACAAAGTTGTCACGCAGTATTATGACAGCATACGTTCTTTCAAGTTGAAGCTGTCATTGTGGGAGACGCAACTTGCCGGTGGTGATGCAGCTCACTTCCCCTGTCTGAAAAATGTGTGCACGACCCAACATGTGGCAGACATGAAGCGGTTCAAAGACAAAATAACGGGACTGTTACGGGAGTTTGAGCAACGCTTTCAGATTTATGTTTATATGTTTTTATGTTGATGTGCTATTGTTTTTAATTGATTTTATTTTATTTGTATATTTAACCTATTCTTGACTCTGTGGTTCTTGCACTTGTTTGGGGAACATGATTTCATTATTTTTATCTACATTTCTGCCTGAGAAATGACACCCTGATATAGTTCTGTGATCTGTGATATACTTCTGTGAATCACTGAGGCATTGTCTGTTTGTGTGTTCTTTGTCCTCAGAACTTTCAAATAACTTGAGGTGTTTTATGATTAATAGTGATGTTGTGCTTTTGGACACTGTCCTCAGGCTCCAGCTTTATGTTTATATGTTTTTATGTTGATGTGCTATTTTCTTTAATTGATTTTATTTTATTTGTATATTTAACCTATTCTTGACTCTGTGGTTATTGCACTTGTTTGGGGAACAGGATTTCATTATTTTTATCTACATTTCTGCCTGAGAAATGACACCCTGATATAGTTCTGTGATCTGTGAAACAGTTCTGTTAATCACTGAGGCATTGTGTGTTTGTGTGTTCTTTGTCCTCAGAACTTTCAAATAACTTGAGGTGTTTTATGATTAATAGTGATGTTGTGCTTTTGGACACTGTCCTCAGGCTCCAGCTTTATGTTTATATGTTTTTATGTTGATGTGCTATTGTTTTTAATTGATTTTATTTTATTTGTATATTTAACCTATTCTTGACTCTGTGGTTCTTGCACTTGTTTGGGGAACAGGATTTCATTATTTTTATCTACATTTCTGCCTGAGAAATGACACCCTGATATTGTTCTGTGATCTGTGAAACAGTTATGTTAATCACTGAGGCATTGTGTGTTTGTGTGTTCTTTTTCTTTAGAATTTTCAAATAAACTTGACGTGTTTTATGATTAATAGTGATGTTGTGCTTGTACTATTTTGGACACACTGTCCTCAGGCTCCAGCTTTATGTTGTATGTTGATCGTATTAAAACAAAGAAAACAATCTGAAGTTGTTGTTTTTAAGTTATATATACCATGATTTTTCCGGTCCGGCCCACTTGGGAATAGATTTTCCTCCATGTGGCCCCTGAGCTAAAATGAGTTTGACACCCCTGCTCTACAAGGCATCTGAATAAAAGCTACATTATTTTCAACACTGTTCTGATCCCAAAACTTCCTGGTCAGAGACTGATCACCCTTGTCTTGAATTGCAACAAATAGGGTCAGTGTTGTTACAAAATCAAGAATGACAAAACTGTGGGCAAACTGTCAACATCAAGACTGACTTTAACAGCAGACCAGCTAGGGATGACTTGAATTATACACACTCTAGCAGTTCTGTACACCTGCAGGCATGGTGAAAACAGTCTCAGGTGGGCAGTGGGCATTCCATCCGGCCGGTCAAATGACATTTAAGATTTGGTTATTGACACAATAACAGTGACACGCAGCAAAGTCGTGAGCCATGTCACCTTACCCCATGTTTACTTTAACCAGGTGAGGTGAGGGAAGTAACTACCTTTGGCTACCCACTTCAGACTGAGTACACAGTAGACTTGAGTATATAGTATACACACTGCACTCCTGGTGAATGTGCTTGAGTGGTGTGTTTTAATACATGCAAAATAATAATAAAAAAGGACAAATGGCAGTGATAGTGACAATCAGTTCATACATGTTCATTACAATATGATCTGTGTTTTAAACATTGTCCATTGAGAGGTGTAAGGTGATGATATAGTTGTTCGAACTGTAAGCTACTGCAGTTTGGGCATGCCTAAAGCTGTTAGTTTTCATTGTTTGCAGAGTAGGCACATGACATTGAGCTTACTTGCAGAGTACAAAGTCCAACTCATGCGGAACTATTGCCATCCCTGTATGGACATGTGACAAAAACTTACTCAGAAAAAAGAAACCTATACCAGATTCCAACAGGTAGTTATCACTCACCGTCTTCGTGAAATCGGGCGGCCACGAGTTGCTCTACGATAGAGGGTATCTTGTCCCACTGGCACTCTGCTCTGTATCGGTCGATCTCCGCTTCCAGACGGTATTGCGAGAAAGAGAGCCTGCTGGATGCCATGCCCGCTCTAGATCCCGATCTGTCACGGTGACCGTACTCCTCTGATACCCGGGAAGTAACTGCGGACTGACAAACAAATCATGAAAAAAGTGTCATGCCATCTATGAGCATGTGCGCTGCCCTACCGTCCCTCCTCATAAACATTTTGGGTGGACATGTCAAAATAATATGTAACCCCCATTTATTCTTAAATACCAATCAGTCAATGTGGACTAGCACAATGAAAAAAACAATGTTGTTAAAGAGTTGTATACAAACTCAGAGGTTTGCTGTAGGACAGGTGCTTCAGTTTGAGGATGAGATTGGGAGATTTGTGTACCCATTGTGTGAGGGCTTTAAAATATTTTGTAGATTCAGATTAGTTTAATTTTTCATAATAACTATCTATTTAATTAAGTAGTTTATTATTGCTTTATAGCCAGTCAATATATAACTCCTTGTAGTCGACTCTATTATGCTTGTATTTATTTTGCATACAATAGGCCTACACACCAAATATTTTACGAAAAAACAATGCCTGTAGAAGTAAAACATTTTCTTTACTTTACATTGTAATAGGGTAGAGGCAACACATTAGCTAGCCTATAGGCTGCTGTAAACTGTTTGTATTGAAGTGCCTTTTGTCCTAGATAACCGTCCTAGATTTCCCTTCAAAAACTTTCCCTAACTAGATCAATTCCTGGGATTAGCGCTAATAGCCTACTAGAGCGCAGTGTATAGATAAAACAGTAAAGTTCAAACTATGGCTCTAAAACACACAGGTGGCAAATTATTATTCCGGATTTTGCCGCAGTGTATGTCCAATCCCTCAATAAAGTCCAAGTAGGCTACTGTATTTAAAGGTCAATTGTCAACTATTTTCATCGCTCGACTTCAGGTTTTGTGGCTAAAGGTAACTAGGCCTACACCTGCCATATGGTCTGGTTCAGACAATTCAGCACTGTATTGTAACGCGTGACTATGAGGGTTACAGCTGTTGCAAATCCATTGACAAAGAATGTAACACTTTACATGTTACAAGCTGAATACAAAAATGTATACATTAAATTGCTACAGTCCCCTGTAGCTCAGTTGGTAGAGCATGGCACTTGCAACGCCAGGGTTGTGGGTTCGTTTCCCACGGGGTGCCAGTATGAAAAAATGTATGCACTCACTAACTGTAAGTCGCTATGGATAAGAGCGTCTGCTAAATGACAAAAATTTAAATTGCGCGTGCCTTTATTCGGGAGAAAGGGGCGGGGCAAACTATTATCTTAACGCCCATTTGTCAAAAATACAATACATGATTTAATATACCTTGACCTGGTGATAGAACACATTTTAGCTGCCATAGTTTCCCAGGACGGCTGCTAAATCGGTGTTTCACAAAAACATTGGAAAACGACAGCTCGAGCACTTGACTTGCTACACAGCAAACTAATGTTTAGGTCAAGTGCAGTACCTACGACTACAAACTATCACAGGACAATTTTGTATAGCTAATCCAACCTCAAATCTTCGGAAAATAGATTTGGTGGCTTCATTTTCCCTATGAAATGTTGACATTTGCTTGTCAGATGTTTTCACTTCTTAAATTCAACGAAACACACAGTTAACAATTACATTCACGTTCCTGTTTTGCACAGGTGTCTGGATTAGGCAATTGCACGCCTTCAAATCGCTGACGCAAAATGCCGATAGCCAATCAGAATTTAGCTGTCGTGTCCATGAGTTGAAAGGTGACTACGGCTCACAGCAATGCCCAAAAAGGGTGAAGAAAATACAAATAGTTAATTCACAAACGAACGGTTTCACGTCTGTTTGTCAGCTGGTGAGTATGAATTTGAATCATTCATATCGCTGAAGATCCATTATGGTGGTCTTGTTATCACCATATGAATGATCTTGCTAAACTAACTGATGGTCTTGAAAACCAACTAGGCGCAATTATAATTAACTTTAGCCAGCCATGTGTCTATCACCAACATCACTAGCTAGATTTCGTTCCAAACTGTACATAGAATAACATATCACTGAAAACAATGAGGCTATTATTGCCTGAAAATAATGCAATTCCATTTGATCAATCTTCTGATTCTTCTGCCATGTATGTGTTTCCAAAAGTTAACAAATGGGTTCATAGATGGACCACCTATTTCTAGTGAAAGCTCTTGCCATTCAGTGACGAGTGACACTGGCTGTTCTGTGCCTTCACCTTGCTTGCAATCATTGTTCATATTATTCAGCATTGATTAACTCATATTATTCAGCATTGATTAACGTTGTTGTTCAATTATGTCCCTTGCTCACTCTCACTCACTCTCTGTCTGTCTCTCTGTCTGTCAGTGTAGTTACTGTACATACCAGAATGGTGTTAAGAGTAAGTGGCAGGAGGAGCGTGGTGTGGGGCTGGCTACTCCTGGTGTCCTGCTTTCTGCTGTCTGTTTGTTCACATGAGCAGGCAGCCCAAGAACACCCACCGGAGAGTCACCGTCCTAACATGCACCTGGACAAGAACATGGTCCATGACAGAGAGTGAGTAAAGGGTCGTGTTCATAAGGATACACCGCTCCAAAATGCTTTGCAACAGAACAAAAGCAAACGTTTGTTATTAGACAAGTACAGATAGTACTTTACTTTTTCTCTCGGTTTCTGAGCATTTTCTACCATTCTGTGTCTAATGAACAGGCCACATGAATATGAATGGGTAAAACAATACACTTTTGTTTTCTATACTATTTTGTTTGCAATACTACCAAATTCTGTTTGCTTAAACTTGACGTCTGTCTGTCTGTCTGTCTGTCTGTCTGTCTGTCTGTCTGTCTGTCTGTCTGTCTGTCTGGTCTGGCTGGCTGGCTGGCTGGCTGGCTAGCTAGCTAGCTAGCTCTATTCCAAGCTTTACCTACCATTTGGCAGACATTGTATGCATGGTTAATGCACTGAGCAGTGTCTCTCCTATGTCCTCTGTCTAAGACACATCATGGAGCATCTGGAAGGTGTGATTGACAAGCCGGAGTCGGATATGTCGCCGCAGGAGCTACAGTTACACTACTTTAAGATGCATGACTATGATGGCAACAACTTACTGGATGGGCTGGAGTTGGCCACAGCCATCACTCATGTGCACAAAGAGGTATGTGTGAAAGGAAAAACATATAATATAAAAAATGATATTATCAGCCAATGATGCCACATACTGTATGCACTTTATTCATCTATACACGTGCATGTGTTTCCACATTTTCTGCAGGAAAGAGGAGAGGATAGTCAGCCTATGAAAGAGAAGGACCTCATAAGCCTTATAGATGATGTTCTGAGGGACAATGACAAAAACAACGACGGGTACATAGACTACGCCGAGTTTGCCAAGTCCCTGGAGTAGAGGAGAGATGCTGCCTAACTATTGGGGTCTGGCTCAGGGCACTGCACACAACCACACCACTTTCTCAACCACACCACTTTAATTTACCTGAGCCAGACCCCAGGTAAATGTCTCACGCTCTCTGTGGGGTTATCGCTATCCTTCATCCATCCATACAGCATATATACCAGAGGTGGGAAAACTATTTGGCTTGAGGGCCACATTGGGATTTTTGAAATTCAACGGAGGGCCACACAGATTTGATTTGACCGATTTGCTTGTCAAAATTTGTGGGCAAGATAAAGGGTAGTAATTTGAAAATATATAGGTCCATTATCATTTCCACATACTTTCTATCTAGTTTTAGACGTTCAAGTGTGGCCTGGAGTTTTTTATCCCCCCCCCCTCAAAAACAAAATTAAAATAAAAGGTTTTTACTTAAACCTCCAGCGGGCCGGATTGAATGGTTTGCCCACCCCTGATATATACAGTAGATTATTCAATTATTACTGTAATTATTACAAACTGCCAAATGTGTCTACTGTATGCTAACAACAAACTAGTTCAGTCATATTGGAATTAAATTCTTAAGAAGGTATTTACCTAAGCGCTGCTTTGCTGTATAGAATCTAGGATTATGGACCAAAGGTTTTGATATTTATGCATCCAATCAAGTTAGGCCATTAACGACAACTGCCTGTGGTCCTTAACTCTAAGAGTGACCTTTAGTATTACTGCACTATTCTTGTACTATTACTCATGGTGATAATGTTACAGGCTGGATGCAGGATACTGTACTAAAGAGTAAATGTGTGAGTGTGGGAATGGCAAAGCAGGTTTGAAGGATTTGTCTGAACACAGAAACAAGCCTTGAACAGGGCTGCTTTCAGTTGGAACAAAACGGAAGACAGTGTTTTGAAATGGAGGCGGTAATACATAGGCTAGTCCTACAAGTATGCTCATTCGTGTTTTCAAAACGCTTTCTCCCATTTGTTTGTACTGAATGTGACCCAGGTAACGTAAAAGCCACACTTGGTACAGGTCTGGTTCTGGTCAAACACAGGCAATCACAAATAATTTTTCTGCTGATCCACACATACATCCCTTACATAGTCTGTTACCTACCTACCTGAACGCACAATTCCGCTTACAGCAGGACTGGTACTTGAGATTAACAGAATCTGAATTTCATACAAGAGATGTTGTGCTGCACATTGTGATTTCTTCATCACTGGATTCACTTGACGTATAGCACAGTGAGACCTCTGGGTGATAGCAATACTCAAGGGTTAACTTAATTTTACAGATGTGCTATAAGTAGAATGCAGGGTTATGTTGCTATAAATGTTAGCGGCCTATTGAAGTGATGATGTTATGTGTAGGTACACTACACTTGATTCTTTCCAAATTAGCTGCATTGCTGTCAAACAGTTACAGATCATTAGGTTACCAGGTCTTTATGCTATAAGGCACAGGACAATATTCAAACCCATTTATAATATTTCTAAATGTATACTGAAACTTTATTTGTTACAAAATAGTTCTAATTTTATCATTCAGTGATGGTTGTTCAGTGAATACAGGTTATTTGAATAGAAATGTGTTATTAAAAGCTATAAAATGACAGATTAGTAGACACATGCAACTGTGTTGTCTTTGTAATATGCTGTAATAAACAAATATATTGTCTTCTCTGTTTATGTAGTTTTATGTTGAATATGTCTCAAAGTGGCATTCACATACTGTAGCCTTTTGGAGTGCATGTTAGTGCAGCTCTGTCTGAGGTGTAGGTTATGTTTGATTATGATAATTAGCAGATACCCATAGACTTCCAGTCATTGCGCTAGCGCTAGTTAGCAACTTCCTTCAAACCTCACGCAGAGATAAAAATGGTATCCACGAGTTCATCTGATTCTGGGGAAGTAGATAAAGGGCCTCATTACCAAAATCCTGAAGTACCCTTTAAGTCAAAACTGTAACTCGGCCACTCAGGAACATACTCTGTCTCCTTGATAAGCAACTCCAGTGTAGATTTGGCATTGCATTTTAGGTTATTGTGCTGCTGAAAGGTGAATTCATCTCTCAGTGTCTGGTGGAAAGCAGACAGAACCAGGTTTTCCTCTAGGATTTTGACTGTGCTTAGCTCAATTCCATGTATTTTTTATTCTGAAAAACTCTACAGCCCTTAACGATTACAAGCATACCCATAACATGAAGCAGCCACCACTATGCTTGAAAATATGGAGAGTGGTACTCCAAACATAACACTTTGTATTCAGGACAAAAAGTTAATTGCTTTGCCAAATTTTTTGCAGTATTACTTTTGTGGCTTGTTGCGAGAAGAATGCATGTTTTGGAATATTTGTTATGCTGTACAGGCTTCCTTCCTTTTACTCTTTCAATTGGGTTAGTATTGTGGAGTAACTACAATGTTGTTGATCCATCCTTCGTTTTCTCCTATCACAGCAATTAAACTGTAACAATTCTAAAGTCACCACTGGCCTCATGGTAAAATCCCTGAGTGGTTTCCTTCCTCTCCGGCAACTGAGTTAGGAAGGACACCTGTATCTTTGTAGAGATGGGGTGTATTGATACACCATCCAAAGTGTAATTAATAACTTGACCATGCTCTTTGCAAGGCATTAGAAAACCTCTCTGGTCTTTGTGGTTGAATCTGTGTTTGAAATTCACTGCTTGACTGAGAGACCTTACAGATAATTGTATGTGTGGGGTAAAGAGATTAGGTAGTCATTAAAAAATCATGTTAAACACTGTTATTACACACAGAGTGAGTACATGCAACTCATTATGTGACTTGTTAAGCGCATTCTTACTCCTGAACTTATTTAGGCTTGCTATAACAAAGAGGTTGAATACTTGTTGACTCAAAACATTTCAGCTTTTCATTTTGAACTAATTTGTAAACATTTCTAAAAACATAATTCCACTTTGACATTATGGGGTATTGTGTGTAGGCCAGTGACAAAAAAATCTACATTTTATTCATTCCAAATTCAGGCTGTAACACAACAACATTTGGTAAAAGTCAAGGGGTGTGAATACTTTCAGCCAGTAGATTTGAAGGCACTGTACGAAATGGATGACGTTGTACACAATTGTTCACAATTTCCGGGGACCCATTTTGACTTCTGAGCGCTACTTTCAAATCTACTGGTTGAAATTATACAAAAACTTTCTAGCATCACTTCAACATAAACAAACAAATCACTCCCAATACACACTACTTATACAAAAGGCATTGTTAGGAGAAAGCTGTATCGTGTATATTTCAGACAATCTATATGGGTAATTCAAGATTACCCACAAATGTCTTTCTCTCAGTTAGGCTACCCTGAACTTTCAATCTGCTTGTCACAGAAAACATGCAATGTCAGGTATTCAAGGGGTGAAAGAGTTAAGTCGTTCTCACTATTCTCTATATACTTAATGTTCTTTAGTTGCTAGCTATCACTGCATAGATACACAAATCTGTATTATGTAATCTAATCTAAGGTGCAATGAATAACTGTTAGTTCTTCGAAACACAGCCTATCAGAGCTTGTCTACCTCTCGACATAGAAGTTTCCCTTTCTTTAGTTCCAGTGAGAGCCAGGGTCTAGAGCAGGCATGGAAGTCAGGGAGAACACAGGTGTGGCCAGGTTGCTGGGTGGGGCTCCAATGTTCTGTAGCGGGCTGTACCACTCCTCGTGCTGGCGGGAGGGTTGTGGCTGTGGTGGGACTGTGGGGCAGGGACACTGGCTGGCTGAGCCTGGGTGGTGGGAGTGGGAGTAACCACCTGAGGGCAGCATAGAGGGGAACCGGGGGATATGGTGAGCCAGGGAGTGAGGGTAGTACTGACGGATCAACCCTGTGGACTGAACACACATGCTGCCCAACAGTGCCCCGTGCCCTGGCATCATGCCCATTGGCAAGACCTTCTGAGACGCACGCTCCTGCCTGCGGTATTTGGCACGGCGATTTTGGAACCATACCTGTCAAATACAATACGAAATCAGTCTTAACTGGGTTGAATTTGAGATTTAACAATTTTATAGGATAATGGATAATAAGTATGTCATGGCCTTTCATTTGTAAATGAAAACTGTTTGAGTTAGACATCGCAAGTATTATCAACTTTTACCCCGAGGATAAAAAAATTAACGAAATCCCTGTGGACTGATAAATAGGACTAGGCGCACTGACCTGTATGCGTGCCTCGTTGAGTTTGGTGAGCCGCGCTAGTTCCTCACGGCAGTAGATGTCGGGGTAGTGGTTCTGTCCAAACGCGATCTCCAGCTGGTCCAGCTGCTTGTGACTGAAGGTGGTGCGATGGCGCCTGCGCGCTGGGGATGGGTAGGCTCTCGCACGCCTACTGAGGCCTAGGGCCATACTGTCAAATGGGCCATTTCTGGCTGGGCTGCCCACATCTGTAGGCGGGATAACGATAGGTTGAGTGGGTGAGGACTTTGAATTGATGCTGCAAAGGCATTCACTCTGCCTTTAATTAAACAGTAAATGATGGCTGAGTTTCTTGATTATACTCTCTAGTGCACGTTTCATGAGGTAGGCTGGTCAGGCCTATAGGCCTACTTGTGTTTCACTTTCACCACATAGGAAGTCGCCCAAATTTGTAAGGACACATTTCACTGATGAATGTTCTTTAAAAAATACGGATTACATGACTTTATCTTTCCCATCAACCTCGAGCAACCTAATAGCCACGAGGCTTTGCTGACCAAATTCAATCTCGTGAGAAAGAGATACCAGAGACATGGGGATTTGAACAAGATTAAGTTAACAATAGCTAACAGTGACTAATTTGGAAAATTGGTTGACATGGTTGACTGGCTGTTCACATTACGCTGGATGGCGAACAACCAGAATGAACAGGGAACTGGCCAAAATAGTATTTTATTTCTTACATTTTTGTTTGTTATTCTTTCTCAATCATTTTCATCAAAGTCTAGAAATGTTAAGGACTTACAGTTTTCAGTCCATTTTCATATAAAATATTAAATGAAAACAACGCTTATTAACCACATTTACATTTAAGTCATTTAGCAGACGCTCTTATCCAGAGCGACTTACAAATTGGTGCATTCAATTTAGGATAGCCAGTGGGACAACCACATCTTGATCACAGTAAGTACACTTCCTGTACTACAGCATCAATTCATGATATTTACATTTAGTTCATGCAGATATAAATGAACCATGTATAATTTGTTATTAATAACGTAACTTCATCATACAATTCTGACTGATACAATAGAATTTTGACATAAAATTTTTTTTTGACTGACCTGCGCTGGAGCTGACGGTGGTAATATCAGAGTACATCTCTGCACACTGCTGCTGACTCTTGACACCATCCACGGGTGACTTAACCTGGGCCATCTTCACAGGTGTGGTCTGGGATGCTACAGTCAGGAACGCTAGGCATACATTGAGCTAGCTACCTGTTGCTTTTCCCACCGTGTCTAGCCGTGACAAAACATGCCATTCCCACCCACCTCTACATTTACCTGGCTATGGCTTTACTCAAGAATCTTCTCAGGTCACGTAAGGTCACAAAAGGTCATGGGCTACAGAATTTACTCAAGGGAGACTGAAAGTGGCAAAATCCTCACTGAGTCACAATAATTCAAGCATTATGCTTATCTATGGCATTGATTCCATTGAAAATGTCTATCCTGTATCCTAATTTATCATGCTTATTCTTGATATAAAATCAAACATTATACCATAGTCTACCTTGGATTTCAAAAAAGGATGTGTGCATTCATTCACTTTACAATATTACTGAAGTGCAAGTAGGACATATAAAACATAAACTGATTGACATTTGCTGAGTGAAATTGCAATTGTGCCTATGTCCACTAGGAGGCGACACAACCTTCAGCGTCTGTCCTTGAGAGTGTGCTGGGGAGACTGTGTTCTTTCGTACAGATTAGTCTCCCTCCCCAGCACACTCTCATGCCCTCTTTCATCCTGATTTATTAGGCTGTAGGAAAAAAATCACAGTTGGAGTACTTACTGCTCTGTAAGAATGTCACCCCCTCTCATTTCATAGCTACGTCTCTTTCTTTCTTTCTTTCTTTCTTTCTTTCTTTCTTTCTTTCTTTCTTTCTTTCTTTCTTTCTTTCTTTCTTTCTTTCTTTCTTTCTTTCTTTCTTTCTTTCTTTCTTTCTTTCTTTCTTTCTTTCAACATGTTATCTCAACTGACCATACTCCCTTCCTTTCGTTTTATTTGGTTAAACTCAAATGTTTTCTAATGGGAATTGAGCTGGTATGACAGTGTTGGCAGTCATTCTCATGATGCTAAACTCAGCGTAGGCTAGTGCAGAAGAATGGCCTTTTCACACGAGCGGACACTGGGCAGAGTCCCAAATATACCTAAGTTATGACAGGAGAGCATGTAGGCAGATTCATCAACTCTTAGTGGACATGCAATGCAATGTCAATTTAACCTCACTGAAAAAATACCCTGTGAGGTTTTATACACTGCTGATGATACCCGGATTATGAAACCCACTGACTACCTGATCAGCTTTCACATGGAAAAGCTCTTGTTGAATTGCCCAAAAAATACATGTTAGATTGAATACGCATTTAGATCTAGTCTTGCCAAAGTCCCTTTCCTTGTTCAAATGTCTCTTTACGTAAACAGGCCTAATTTGATTCCTTGTGATATGTTGTCTCTGAGGGCATAGTGATGGCTGAGCCTCCTCTCACCATCACGTCATGTCTGTGCCAACTCCTCTACAGATCCCACATTCATCTCTCCTGTTCCCAACAACTGGCCTAAACAACTGATTCAGCCAGAAATCCCAGCACACTCAATTTGTCTATCTATGTGTACGTGCACATGCTTCTATCTATCTGTCGGCCAGCCTGCCTCCCTCCCTGTCTGTCCTTCCAATTTTTTATGGGGAAGTACTAGTATTATTGTAACATTATCTATTTGTCTTTGTGATACCTATTTAAAGATTGTGAGATGGTCATGCTAAATAGGTTGTGACTGGGTGCACAGGTCAGCTGGTGTGATGTGTCTTGTGGTGCCTCTCAGGGTCTGGGCAGCTGAACTTTCTTCACCAGTGGTGTAAAGTACTTAAGTAAAAATACTTTAAAGTACTACTTAAGTAGTTTTTTGGGGTATCTGTATTTTACTATTTATATGTTTGCCAACTTTTACTTTTACTTGACTACATTCCTAAAGAAAATTATGTACTTTTTACTCCATACATTTTCCCTGACACCCAAAAGTACTCGTTACATTTTGACAGGAAAATTGTCAAATTCACACACTTATCAAGAGAACATCCCTGGTCATCCCTACTGCCTCTGATCTGAATAACATCATAATCGTGCCATCTGGTTTGCTTAATATAAGGAATTGGAAATGGTTTATACTTTTACTTTTACTTTTGATACTTAAGTATATTTAAAACCAAATACTTTTAGACTTTTACTCAAGTAGTATTTTACTGGGTGACTTTCACTTTTACTTGAGTCATTTTCTATTAAGGTATCTTTGCTTTTACTCAAGTATGACAATTGAGTACTTTTTCCACCACTGGTCTTCACCCACAGTGCAAAGTGGCCACAATACCCCAAGGCACTCTGGGAATTTCCAATAAATTGTGGAATCCTGAGTTGGACCCAGATACCACTGGGACGAGGAGATGAAGCTCTGGACCAAACCCACAAGACCTCTACCTGCTCGGGTCAAACACACACACATACACATGCTGGTGCACATGCTGAAACAAATATACACTGGCACACATGTTCACACAGAAGATACACACACATGTATACACAACCAGGCTGTTTTGTGGTTGTCCAGTATGTACTCACAGAGGTAATTCTTTCCTCACAGTTTCCTGGGACTGAACTGGGGGTGACCTGGCTGGCAGAATCGCAGCCCCGATGGAAGGAATGTAACCCAACTCCCCCCTATCCTGCCTGCTCTTGTGTGCGTGCATGCGCGCGTGTGTACCCATATGTGTGTGCATGCCCGTGTAGGTGTGTGTGTGTTTGCATGGCCGGCCCTAGCCTTTTGGGGGCCCTAAGCGAGATTTAGTTGGGGAGCCCCCCCACCTCGCGGGCTGCATGCCCGGTCGATATTCGGCCATGATTACTACAAGTTTAGATAGCTGGCTAGACTAACTACTAATCAAATAATTGTTAGCTGACATGGCTAATTGAGTGACTGTCATTACTGTATATGTGAGGGAGAAGAGAAAGAGAAAGCAAAGCAAAGAGAGAGAACACTCCACTACAGTGTTATGCATATTCATCTTTTAACAGCATATTGCTGTTGTTAACATTCATTCAATAGTTTATAAAGCCATCTTTGTCTTTTCTCACCCATGGTGTCAATGGGGACTCAAAGTCTTCTGGGGCTCTCTGGTGGGTTACAGGTCACATAGTCACATTGTTGAGGGGTCATTCTTAACCCAGATCCCCAGTGGTGGTTTACTTTACACATCCCACTGGACACAGACGTCAGTTCAATGTCTAGTTTTGATTTACATTTGATTGAGTTGTCAACTAATGTGAATAAAAAATATAAAAAATCCCATGTAATTGTATTTAGGTTCAAAGTTGGGTGAAAAAAAGACTAAATTCCCTTATGTTGAGGACTTTTTGCAAATCCAATCAATTTTCCAGGTTGATTCAACATCGTCACATAGATTTTCTGCGTTGAAATTAGGTGTAACAACGTTGATTCAACCAGTTTTTGCCCAGTGGGATAGGCCTACTAGGCCAGGAGGTTTCAAAACATTCTTTCTCAGGGACCCCTGCCCAGGCAAATTGGCGACCCATCATATGTTAGCAACAAAATAAAATCACATCTTGTCTTATCATCAGGTGAATGATAATGGCATGTGGAAATAACCAACATTTTAAAATGAATAGATTTGGTAGACAATTTCATTATTTTGTGCACATTTTTCTATTGAGAGAACATTTAGCCGTTTTGAAGATAATTTCCAGCAATTCTACACAGTTTGGCATGGCGTTTTAAAGCTAATGTCCTGCAATGTATTTTTCCATGGATAATGCTGTGTTCCTCTGCTCAAACATTATAACAAAATCTATTTTTTATTTTTTCTCCCTGACTGTCTACATTTTATTTGATTGTTACTTCTCAAAGATGGTATTATTTAAACATATATAGTTCAATATATTTTCTGCATGCTGGTTTTGGTCGTTAAATTAACACTGAAACTTTTTTTCAACCTGAAAATTACCACTTAGATGGCCCACTTAAGAATTTTCTATAGCCTACAGAAAAACCCCTGTAATTAGCTCCAAATTACTGTAATTTCCTCCATATTAAAGGGATAGTTGGAGATTTTAGCAATGAAGCCCTTTATCTACTTCCCCAGAGTCGGATGAACATGCTAACTGTTCCTGTAGACTTCCAGTCATTGCGCTAACGCTATTTAGCATTGATGCAGAGACATAAAAATGCTAACATTTTGTGGATCCCCTGCAGTACCTCTAGGTGCCGAAGACCCCAGTTTGAAAACCCCTGCACTAGGCCTAACTAGCAGATACCATGGTTATGAACTCAAACAATTAGTGCTCTCTCTGTTAAAGGGGAAGTTCACCCCAAAACACTTTTGGGCCCTTTATAACACATGCCTGGCTGTTTGTCAGTACCCCAGACAGTTTTTAGGCCCATTGTTTGATTATTTAGATTCCTGTATTTTTATATATAAATGCTGAATTTCCTAAATTACCTAAAATGCATAAAAAACGATCTGTATTTGAAGTTACATAAACAACAATTGGTGTCTCGGCATTAAATTGCCAAATAAATGTGTTGTTTAATGTAAAAAGTATAAAAAACAAAGACATACTTTGTGCTAGCGCAAAGGTCTTCCACATAGTCTGTAATCCGGTAGATACTCTTCTTCGTGGTTCTAAAATGGATAATTACAGGAGGCGGGACGAAGGAGGCTACCACTACCACTACCCCAGCCACCAGCTCTGCACCCTCCGCTGCAACTTGCCCATGCCCTCCCCCGCTTCTCCTTCACACAAATTCAGACAGCTGATGTTCTGAAAGAGCTGCAAAATCTGGACCCCTACAAATCATCTGGGCTAGACAATCTGGACCCTTTCTTTCTAAAAATAGCCGGCGAAATTGTCGCAACCCCTATTACTAGCCTGTTCAACCTCTCTTTCGTAACGTCTGAGATCCCCAGAGATTGGAAAGCTGCCGCGGTCATCCCCCTCTTCAAAGGGGGTGAAGCTCTAGATCCAAACTGTTACAGACCTATACAGTGGGAAGAACAAGTATTTGATACACTGTCAATTTTGCAGGTTTTCCTACTTACAAAGCATGTAGAGGTCTGTAATTTTTAACATAGGTACACTTC